TTACTATGCAAAATGCCCCAACCACATAGTGTAAATTTATATAGAATTCAAATTCCATATCATCATTAAACCTCAATAGTCAATATAATAGCCCAAGCAAAATTAAATAACTTCTTATATACCTTACTGTCATACTACAAATTGATTAAACATTTGAAATCTGTTAACCAGAGAATAAATTTCTAAACCTAATGCAAGTGAAATAATTTAGATGCAATAATGAATGCCTAATGTGAGTATCATCTGTCAATGTCCTTGTAAAACAGTCTGTACAAGAGATAAGAGTAACTAATATAGAAGAAAAAACAGGAAGTTGTCGTCTGTTGAAAAATAAATTAAATATCTAGAACATAAATTAGAATATAAAATAACATTCAGTCAATGTGTCGTCAATAAACTGTACAATTATCAAATGTTAAAACTGGGTGATACAGTCACCAAAAATAAATACTAAGTATGATAAGTTAATAAATTAAATGTGGTCTATAAAACTACCACTACGTATAATAGGTCAATAAATTAAAAGTGGTTTATAAAACTACCACTGTGCGAATCCCTTCTCCAGTTAAAACATGTCAGTCATGTGCAAAATCAATCAGAATGGTAAGGTGGTCAAAAAGGGAATATCCTTTCGACATAAATTATATATGCCTCAGATTTAAAAGAATTAGAAGATACTTAGTTATCGTCGACTATGATTGCAGTGTAAAATTTGTCATATGAATTGTCGACGGTGTAATTAGGGTCTGTTGTTATAGATGAGAGTAGCTGTTTCTTATACGAATCACTTAAGCTTTTAACATCGGGCAGATTTCGTAGATCTGTTGGAACATTATTCCAACATTTTGCCCCCAAGTATTGAAAGTTTTTATGGGATGTTGATCTATTAACATATAGGTTGCAGCTTTCGCCGCTCCTACTACCTCCTGATATGTAACTAAATTTGTTCATAAAGTTTGTAGGACAATTGTCATGGATGATTCTAAACATATAATTTGACAGATGGAGTTGTTGTCTAAGATGGAGTGGTAACCATTTCATGTCTCTATAAACATTAAGGCTGCTCTCTGTTTGTGGAACGTTGAGAGCTATTTTGGCTACCTTTTTGTACAGAGTGTCAAGTTCAGCAAGTTTTGTCTTGCCAGCTCTACAATAGATCGTGTCTAAATAATCGAATTGTGGCAACATGAGTGCATTGGCAAACATTTTCCTATATTTAATGGGTAGCAGTGCTTTGCTTCTATACATGGCACCAATTCTCTTCATGACCTTCCTAATAATATAATCTACATGGCTTTTGAAGTTTAATTTACTATCTAGAATGAGGCCAAGATATTTTGTCTCTTTGCACTCCTTGATTGTGAAAGTTACCTCATTACATTCAATGGTTAATTCATCATGTTGATCAACAGAATCAAACAATAGGAATTCAGTCTTCTTTTCATTGAGTGATAATTTATTAACACTGAGCCATTTAAAGATCATCATTAATCTAACTGTCTTGCTGAGGGGGAGAAGTAAACGCTTTACATTCAAATACTTACAACATACAAAATCCAAAACCATCAACACGGTTAGTTAATATCATGTCATGGACAATTTAGTATAAATCTATTTCCTAGTAATATCTTCACATTTGCTTTATTTTAATAATACAATGAAGTACAGTAGGATACATTTCGAAAAAGGAAAGGTTGGTCCAATTATTAACAAAAGTCCATCAGGGACTCCGTGGAGTCGAAAAAGGTACACGGCCGCTGTCTGGTGCTGCTAGGCATTTATTGATCAAGATGTTTTGTTGTATTGGTTTATATGTACACTACAATTTTTGGGTTATTGTGTTGTTATTATTACTCCTTTACTCACTGTACTGTATAACGAATGTATGAAAGATGGCATATTTCCAGATGACCTTAAAGTTGGAAGGATTAGTCCCATTTACAAGAAAGATAACCAGGAACTCCTTGAAAACTATAGACCTGTATCAACGCTAGCTGTGTTTGGTAAAATATTTGAAAAGATTATATTCAATAGATTATACAGCTTCTTTCATTCACAGAACTCCTTATATGAAAACCAGTACGGATTCCGTAAAAATCACTCGACCAGTTATGCCCTAAATTACTCAGTGAACCACGTAGAATCTTGCCTCAAGAAAAAACAACACGTTCTTGGAATATTTATTGATCTTAGTAAAGCCTTTGATACAATATCACATGAAAAGTTACTGCATAAGTTAGAAAATTATGGAATCCGTGGAAATGCAAATAACCTTATAGCAAGTTACCTGTCGAACAGATACCAGTATGTCTCGGTATTAGGTGAAGAATCCGAGAAACTTCCAGTAGTCTATGGAGTGCCGCAGGGGAGCTGTCTTGGTCCCTTACTTTTTATTATTTATATTAATGACATCCGTAACTCATCAATTATAGGAAAGTTTATACTATTTGCCGACGACACTAACATATTTATAGAAGACACATGTGTCAAAAGACTATACGAAAAAGGAAATGAAGTTCTATCATTTGTGTACAAGTATATGAAACTAAACTTATTACATATTAACATTAAGAAATGTTGTTTTATTCATTTTAAACCCTCACGGGCCAAAGAGGAAGTAGAAAATGACGAGAACATACTAACTTTAAATAATGTAGTTATTAAAAGAGTTCAAGAAGCTAAATTTCTAGGCGTTATTATTGACGACCAACTTAACTGGAAATCACATACGCAGTCACTTAACTCAAAACTTAAATGCGAAGTAGGAAAGCTGTGCAGAATACGACACATTGTCCCAAAGCAGTATTATAAGGATTTATATCATACTCTATTTGAATCACACTTAGGATTTGGAATATCTGTGTGGGGTGGTATTAGCAATAACCGACTTGAACCTATCTTTAAAACACAGAAAAAGTGTATAAGAATTCTGTTTGGGGATAGAGAAGCTTACCTAGAGAAGTTTAAAACGTGTGCCCGAACACGACCTGTTGATAAGCAAAGACTGGGGGTGGACTTTTACCAAAAAGAACACTCCAAGCCCTTGTTTAAAACCCACAGGTTGTTGACGGTCCACAATCTGTACAAGTACACTTGTCTCTTAGAACTATTCAAAATTAATAAGTTAGAGGAACCATTATCACTGTACTCATCATTTAACAGGTCACCACGACGAGAGGATTATTTCATTACATCACAACCATCCTCACAATTCATCTACCAATCATCCTACATGTGGAACAGCTGTCGACAAACATCAAGTAAGATAAGTTTTAATACTCCGACAAACGGGTTTAAGAATATATTGAAAATTGCCTTACGAGAATTGCAATTCAAGCATGATACACTTGATTGGTGTGAGCTTAATTTTGCCACAAATGAGCTCAAGTTCTGATTTATGTGAGTTACTAAAATGACCATATATCTTTTCTCACACATATAACCACTGCACTCCAACCAAAAACATTACTTACACCATACTCCACAAATGATATATATATATATTTATACACAAACACACTAGTACCGAGCAATCGCACTGTAAAACATGCTCACGATACACTCAAAATTGGAAATATTCAACGGCTTGTATATGAAACTTACACTTACACTCAGTGTACACCCAGTGTTAACTAGTATTACACACTGGTAAACTCTACGTAACGCGCGAAAATAATAATTCTATTGCGTTTTCATTGTCACATTTCACGTCGACGGGATTAAACGCGCGCGCGCGTAACATCTTATCTTACTGCTATCTCAACGAATAAACACACAACGACTTTGACAATTGACCGACGACTTAACGATTGTGAGTTATGACGGACTTAACTGTATGGGTCAACTACTAAAACTGCATTGTATACTATCTTAATCATTATACTGGACATGAGATGACGAAGTATCTTGAGCAGCACTTTATACCTCCACTTAGAACTTGATAAGTCACGAACAATAGAATCATTATAAATCAATACAATAAAACATCTTGATCAATAAATGCCTAGCAGCACCAGACAGCAGCCGTGTACCTTTTTCGACTCCACGGAGTCCCTGATGGACTTTTGTTTACTTTTGTTAATAATTTGACCGCAACCTTTCTTTCTCGAAACACAAATCCTACCGTACTTCATTACAGTATTAAGATAATATAATATAAAGCAAATCATGTGAATATATGACTACGAAATAGATCTATAGACTTGTCCATAATATTTAATACCGTATTGATGGTTTTGAATTTTGTATATTGAATTTTAATGTGAAGCGTTTACTCTTCCCCCTCGGCAATTAATTAGAAAGTTAGATTAATGACAATAATTGCCAAATGACGTAGTAGATATAGATGTTCAATGTTGTAGAGTGATTTCAAGAGTAGTGGTCCACAGGGGCCCGAAAAAGCCGTACAGGCACTTGGGTCCTTATCCTTGTCACTAGTCCCAATTGGATTCACTTTACACAAAACATGAACGTTTACAATTTAGACGTACACATTGGCACGATATTTATTAGAAAGCAAACAGTATAAAATAATACGTGCGTGCGCGGCTTGAGCCGCGCCGCATAACAATTTATGCGTTTAGGGGCTGGAGTACGCGTGTTTACAGATTAATGAATTGTTGCATTGTAAATATTTAAAGTTGACGATATATTATGATTTAATAGTAAATTTTTCAAAGCTGGCTTTGGACTTAGGTAAAATTATAATTTATTTATTTAAAAGAAAAAACCACGGATAGTTTTTAATTTACATAGTCGTATAACTATAATCAAGTTAATCCTGTTTTCAAGAATGCGCGGCTTTGGCGGCCAGTTATTGACTTGTACATAAAATTGAATTTTAAATAGAAATGTGAATGTATTAAAATTTAAAACTTTCAAAACGGAGGCTTATAAATATTATTATATTATGATTGTAAAATAAAGGATAAAATTTTAAATTTGTTTCACTAAAAAAATTTGTTTCACTATTTTTTACTCATGAACGATTAACAATGATCTAACTTGTTTGTGATAATATTATAATTAATGAAATAACTTCAGGTAGTTGTTTCAAATGGGAGATTATGTTCTTGTTCTGAGTACAACTGACAAAAACCTCCACAACTTTGTTAGCAAAAGAATAGTTGACAGTGGGCAGACTGTTTCACAATTTGACCACCCTGAAATCACTGGACATGCAGCATTTATTATTGCAACTCCCAAGGAGTTAATAAGGAAAGAAGCTGAGGGATGGGGATTTCTCAAAAGAGATGAAAAAGGTTATAAACGGGAATATTTGGATGCTCAACATGATCTATTTGAACCACCTTATACTAGCCAGGGCAAAGTAAAATCCCTTTTCTCTCCCTCAGAAGCTTCCTATATCACTCATGAATTGCTGAAAAGAGTGAAAATAAATGAGGTTCCTGACTTCTTTCCACGATCCAAGTCAGGTGTGCACCCCAGTGATTCAATGATTCTAGCCCTTGAAAGAGTTGAAATGGTGAAATGCTGGCCGCTGCATTGTTCAGTGGAGGAGCGTGGTGTTGCTTGGCAGTTGGGCCCTCTAAAGAGATCATCCTGTGATCATATTGAACACTATTTTGGCTCCAACGTTTCACTGTATTTTGCCTGGTTGACAAATTACATCGTGTGGCTTATTATGCCTGCTGTAGCTGGTTTTGCTGTCTTTGTGTACCATTATATACATCCCGAAATTAATGTCGATAACTCACTGGTATCTCCAATCTACACATTCTTAATTATTATTTGGGGTGTGCTATTTGTGAATAGTTGGGACAGGAAATGTGCTAGTCATGTGTGTGATTGGGGAATAAATCAGGTGAAGTGGAGGCAAGAAGTTCGTTCAGGCTACGTAGGTAGGAAAAGAATAAGTCCTGTTACTGGGATGCCAGAGAGATATTTTGATCCTAAAGAAAGATTGTTCAGATACTGTATTAGTGCCTGTGTCACACTCTTCATGCTCGTTCTTGCATTTTCTGTAATGGTAATCAGTTTGAACCTGCAAGGATACATCCACAAGTTTTCCTACAGTAAGAATTACCTCTTGTATCCCACCATATCCTGGCTGTGTGATGAAGGACAGTACCTTGATCCAACTGGAAAAGGGCCCATGCCGTTTGTTCTCCTATACATTCCTGTCATTTTCCATGTGGTGATTATTCAAGTTCTCAATAAAATATACCAAGTCGTGGCGATCAACCTTACCAACTGGGAAAATCACAGGTCTCCCACCCAACACGAAAATGCTCTCTATGTGAAACGATTCTTCTTTGAAGCTTTTGATTGCTACATTGCCTTGTTCTACCTTGCCTTTATTGAAAACGATATTGTGTTACTGCGGAGAGAACTTGTCAGCCTGTACACTGTTGATTCTATTCGAAGATTAGCCACAGAAACCATCATTCCTCATCTGACAAGAAAGGTGACAAGAGCCATTTCAAAGGAAGAAGAAAACACCAACTGCAATGAGAGAATCGGTAAAGATTATGACAAAGATCATTATGAGCAGTTTGATGATTATCTAGAAATGATCATACAAATTGGATATGTGACACTTTTTGCTGGAGCATTTCCTTTAGCTGCTCCCTTGTCAATTATCTGCAATGTTCTGGAGCTCTATTCAGACGTCTTCAAGTTGACTTACATAACAAGACGGCCCATAGTCCACAGAATCACAAACATTGGAGTCTGGTCTCTGCTAGTTAAGGGTATAGTCCTTCTCTCTGTCTTCACCAACTTGTACATCTTCTGCTTCACATCAGAACAGCTGATGACCTTGGCACCATCCCTCTTTGAGGTGATCCCTCTAGAAGCAGAAGAAGCTCTGAAGTCGGGTAGTGACCATGTCCACGTGATAGCAGATGGAGCAGGCATGATAGTTGCCACTGTCATGATGTCTCTGGAGCACGTGATCCTCTTTATGGTTGCTGTTATCTGGATAACCGCACCTGACACAACTCCTAGTGTGGACGACGAGATAGCTAGGAGAGAGTACTCCAAGTTCCTGGCAACTCACGGGACAGGTTCTGTAGGAGGGATCAGTCTTATGAGTATGGATAATACGACCTTGAAGGACCTTACTACGACTGTTGAGGAGACTGCTACTGAAGATGCACGACTGAAGAGTAGCTAGAATGTCCTTCGAGCAGAAAACGACTTTGTGGAATGATTGAGTCGATCTCACATGGGAGTTAATTTATTTCATTGTTTTATTTTGGTATTAAAGGATTTATGGTTTTTAAAAGGATAGAGCATGCGAATCCACCACAACAAAATGCATGCATTATCGGAAATATCTAGTCAATGAATTGCATATTGTCAATACACTTGGAAATATCTAAACGTAGTTAGTGGATATAACAAATTCATTCTTTAAACAGTGCAGCTTAGCAAGTTTTTAACGTGACAGATCACTCTTGGTCTTTGACTGTTCACTTTTGAACAAAGTCGTTAATCTTAAAGTACAATATTCATGCTTGTCAAACGACGCTGCTTAATTGCGTTGGCGTGTGTTAACTTTTAAGAGTGTAATTTTGTTTCAGTTTTGTGATGTTTCACTCTATTTTTAATTTTGATATCTTGTACAAGTTGTATTTAAGTTTTTGCTTAATTAATTGTGAACTAATTTCGATGTCGGACTGCCTCAAGTTTTCGTGCAAGTTTTTTTGTGTGCAGTTTTTTTTTCTCTTATGGTGAAACGTGTTTTATCAAGTTTATGAGTTTTGATAATGTGACTTTTGCTTGGAATTGTTTTAATAGTTCGATGGAATATTTTTTACGGTTTTAAAACTTCGCATGATATTAATGTTAGTTGTTGTGTGTGTGAAATGATTATGAATTTAGATTTGGGAACTACTTTTGTAATTTGTTATTACTTTATAAAACAAACCGTCCACAGCCCATGTTGCCAAATTTTCAGATGGTTATTATAGCCACCATTTTCCATTTCACACAAACAATAGATAAGATGTTACGATTTAAGAATCATAATCCTCATAACCCTCAATAGAAGATGACATCACTGTTAAGGAAGAGCTTGCGCCGCAGTGGAGACGTCATCTTTAACAGTAGCAAACCTAAAGGATCAGAGTTTACTATCAACTTGTTAGATGGCGACACTAAAACAGTCTTTGCTGATGTAAGTCTCTCCGTTTCTCTGCTTCGTTATCGATGTTTCTGCCACTTTAATATGCTAAATAATAAGATATCATAATATGCTGGACCGTTCTATGAATTTTCTATGAAATTCAACTTATCAGAACAATTTATCATACAGTTTACGAACTTATCTGCGGTCGTGGGTATCTTGAAAATTATAAAGTATCCCCATAATTTGTGTGCATTGCAATTAGAAATACAAAGGTTACCGGGTTCAATAATTGTGTTCCTAATATCAGTAATATTACTATGTTAAAATAATGTAAGTATAATAAGTACACCAGTAATAAAGTTAACGGTATCATTATAAGATAATACGTGCTCTACGTGCTGATAGCGATACTTCCTTAACGTTATAATACGATACCGTACACTGTGCCAGTAGTTTTCCAGTGCATTGTAACTATTGGACAATGTCAGGCCGTAACCGGACATGCTACATACAGCACAGAGAGCGCTCTCTCTCTCTCTCTCTCTCTCTCTCTCTCTCTCTCTCTCTCTACCTCTCTCTCTCTACCTCTCTCTCTCTACCTATCTTAGAGTTACAGCCTATTACACACACGTGCACCGCAGACCACCCTTAGCGACATGTTGTTGTTATCATCGTACAAGCGCGAGCGGGGATATATTTATTCATTAATTATAATCATATTATTGGTTGATTACAATAAGTTGTGTAAATTGTTGTTAGACTGTGTAACAACACGCGGGAAGGGTTTTAGTGTGAGTGTATCATGTTCGCTTAAAGAATGTAGGAAATAGTACAATGTTACAATACAGCTCGGTGTAACAGTTGTTAATGAGGGGGGTAGTTTGGAATGTATGAGGTTACCCGGAAGGGACTGAGAGAGAGAGCACGTTGCACTTCTGTCTGGAGATGTGCTACACTTAAACACATGATGGCCACTGGGGTGCACAGTACCCACTACTTGGGCACACAGACTGGTTAGGTAACATGTGTTACTTATCATGTTAGGTAACATGTGTTACTTATCATGTTAAAGTGACATGATGCCCACTTTACATGTACATAGGAATAGTTATGTCTCGGCGGGGATGGCCTGGTTGCTCAAAGTTAATTCACATCATAACAATGATACTAACATTAGCCATCGCATGTGTTTATTTACACTGCCGTATAATTTTATGGTTAAAAATATTCAAGGAAAGTTGTATTGCCACACGAACTACATCTCAGTAATTGAATAATATTAATTCGTGAATAACATGATTATTTCAGTAAATAGCAAACCAGACCCGGGACTTGACATTGAACATCAGTATTGTGATATCCTGTAATGTGATAGCCGGTTTCTCATGTTAAGATACTGATTATTTATTTTTAGATCCCAGAGGTAAAATGTTATTTCAAGTACTGTACGACATCACAACAATACGGCTCAAAAATAATGTTTCTACCCGGATATTACACTGTACGACAGATCAAGTGTTTGATCCGCATTAGTTACCTGGAAATCTCGTATTTTTTAAACTCTAGAATTGTTCAGAATATTCCGCAGAACGACTAAAAATAACTCCAGTAAGGAGATATGTCTTACAATCCAATGAATTAAGAAAGCTGCTTTACCATGCGACGCAACCTTAGAACCTTCTTCTTACACTCCTCGTATACTTGGACTGTTGCCTTGGGCAATTAGACCATATATGGTCAATTAGGTATAAGCTGAGTATGCTTTGTAAAGAAATGCTGGCAAATATGATTTGTTAAACTGCACGTAGGTATTGCAATGCTGTGATATACTTCATGAGATTTGTCGTATAAAGCTTTGACACCTTGCTAACCATACAGACCTCTCCTCTCCGCCCTCATATTATTTTATAAGATTATAAAGAAATTGTATATCCTTTTGATAAATAGAACTCACTTTCTAAGTTATGCTATTAATCGTGTCTTATGAACCGTGACGACATGAGTTTGACACTGTATTCTAATTATAACCGTGATGATATGAGCTAGCCAGTAGCCACATATTCCAACCACGGACTGACCACAGCATGGATAATACAAGCTGTACAATATTATAGAGATAAGAACTGATCAGTGTGAGAACTGAGAGTAGTAGCTCGGTTTAGTAGCTCGGTTGTCATGACAACGCTACTCAGTTGTCATGGCGACTCCCTTGGGGGTAGTATTGTTAGAGGTGGTGATAAGTTATATATTCAGCAATGTATTATTATATTACAACTCTAGCTGAGTATTATTATTAGCGCTCTCTCTCTCTCTCTCTCTCTCTCTCTCTCTCTCTCTCTCTCTCTCTCTCTCTCTCTCTCTCTCTCTCTCTCTCTCTCTCTCTCTCTCTCTCTCTCTCTCTCTCTCTCTCTCTCTCTCTCTCTCTCTCTCTCTCTCTCTCTCTCTCTCTCTCTCTCTCTCTCTCTCTCTCTCTCTCTCTCTCTCTCTCTCTCTCTCTCTCTCTCTCTCTCTCTCTCTCTCTCTCTCTCTCTCTCTCTCTCTCTCTCTCTCTCTCTCTCTCTCTCTCTCTCTCTCTCTCTCTCTCTCTCTCTCTCTCTCTCTCTCTCTCTCTCTCTCTCTCTCTGTGAGATGATATGTTGTGTGTATTGTGTAGAGGGTGGAACGTACATGTCAGGAAAACAGGAAACAGTGGTATTTGTCAGGGTGCGGTAATGTGTTTTGGTTTACCTTGTTTTAAAATGTATTGGTGTGAAGAGAGGTATTACAGGTATGTGACCTGGCTGGAATGTTTGTTTTAAACGTGTGGTTTGGACATAATACTGTGGTTTGTGACCATGTTAACTCACCTCTCTATATTATGATAATTGATAAGATTACATTCCTTTCAGGATCGTGTTATATAACCCCTCTACATTCTATAGAGTGTGGTTTCCTTTTCTTAACCTGGCGTCCACCATATGAGTGTATCATTGAACTCAGCCAAAGCGTTTATATATTACAATCGAACTTTCTAGGCCCAAGATTAGGCCCAAGATTACACTCACTTAACGTAACACACACAGTTTAAAACCATGTCCTAGACCCTGGTGTAATGTTATAATACCATGTCCTAGTGTAATGTAATACGCAATCTGATCCCCTTTATTTAATATTAGATCACTAACAACTTGATAATTACACTCTCACACACACACACACACACACACACACACACACACACACACACACACACACACACACACACACACACACACACACACACACACACACACACACACACACACACACACACACACACACACACACACACACACACACACACACACACACACACACACACACACACACACACACACACACACACACACACACAAACTACATTGTACTTCACAGCACACCATACTTACTTAACACGTTTACATAACACGTTTACATAACGCAACACGGGACAGAAAGTGCAAATATTGTAATAGTTACAGATATCTAGACAAAAGAACATGCTGTACTACTACTGTAACTGCTTCAGTTCATCACACTAAAAGCCGTTTACAGATCTCTGACAACAACTGCTGTGGGGGATGTTCGACGTTGGGAAATTAGGAAATACCTAGAGCGTTCGTCAGTGTCGCCAATATCACAAATGAGAAGTGCTTCCGTTTCGATGTTTTCTACGTTTTTAAACATCCTTCCAGAAGATTCGATTTAATACAAAATGTGTGTTCAAACTTCTGATTCGGCCATTGTGATCACATGTGCTGTGAGTACACTAAAGCAGAAAGCACTGAGCAGGTACATAACATGATATACGGTATTTCTAACCTTGCAACTCGATACAAAATGTAATCATTCATCTTATCCAGAAAGGTCGAGATTTTTACAAAAATATTTATTGATACTTTTGACGCTAAAAACATTGTTGCAAATTTCACTCCATGTTAATAATAGGTTGGCCGGCACAGTACAATGCCTACATTATCAAATTAGAGAGAGAGAAGGCCAGGAGTTGATCCAGATCCCAGGTGGAGTGTCAAATTGCAGATCTAGTTTCTCTGTGCCATGAGGTCCTTTAACTTTACGATGTTAAGATTGTAATTGTTGCAGAGAGCATATTTTAAATTCCTGCTGTCAAATTGAGGACCTAATAACAAGATGATTTCCACAAAATCTGATTGAAGTTTACAATATCCAGATTAGCTGGCTAACTTCAAGAGCGCAACGATCTTTGGATAACAACGTTTAAGTATTTAAGCTCATGCTGCCGGCTGCTGCCTGTCAAATGCACATGTAATTAAACATTGTGTTGCAGCACTTGATAGAACATATTTTAAGAAATCATCAGAATATTCTGAGATATTCACCGGAATGCATGCTCAAAACCACTCACAGTTTACATCACATGAATATTTATACACATTGCAAGAATACTTATACACATTGCAAGAATATTTATACATCCGACAATGCCGGCCAGCGCCCTCGTCACTCCAGATATGATAAGCAACTACATGTGACTTCTAGGAATGTTTCTTTGATTAGCTACTTTTACTTGCACATTACGGTTGAGAAATACCATTGAGCCAATCTCATCAGTATGATTACTGAAGTTATGGGTATTTAGGTATCGGTATGTATGTGAGAGTTCCCCGCCCATGTAAAATGACACCAGATTATTTACCGATTCACTGCAGACAGCAGGTAACGACAAAAATGTGGTGGGATATTGTGTTAAATTTAATATATAGGTATGCTGAAATATTATACTGAAGTCTCAATTTCTCAGGTCATATTTAATGTCAAATTTAAGTAACTGTATCTGAGTTTTGTTCACGTAGATTGCGGTATAAGCTAATTTTAGAACAAGCCACGAGTTTATACGACACAATGTATCGTTTGCATCCTATCTGATTAGAGATATACATTTTACAATTATTGTACATTTTAAACTTCAGTTTTTAAACAATCATTTTAAAAAGTAGAAGCTCTGTGATTTGTTTAATTTTCTTCGCCGTCATGTGGAGTCAATCTATACATTTAAATTTCGATTATCTTCACGCACAATTGTGGTATTAGTTAAATGTGGATTGTGGGTGGGGGACTCCTCGAAATGGATACTGTCATGTAATATAACGGAATAGCTATCTGTAATATAACGGAATAGCTATCTGTAAAATTTATTACGGAGAGGAAAGAAGGTTTAAAGATAACCGATAAGCGGTTTCTTAATATATATATATGAATAGCCCTTAAAATCTATTTCAAGGCCAATGATCTATTGTGAATGTCCCCCTGAATGTCACTCAGCTGCGTTGTGTGATTTCTAGTTACAAAGCGCACTAATTAAAAACAGTTGTTTACTTACTTAAACCACCTTTACTGCTTATTAACTCAACTGCAATGCGTTACAAAATGTTTTGTCCTTCGACAAACCATAAAATTCTCACAGACCTCAATTTAAGTAAATAATAATTTTGAATATATTTCAGAGGAAAGACAAAGGCCAAGCGTTGCTCAACAAAGTAATGTATGAGATCGATCTGAATGAGCACGAATATTTTGGTTTATGTTGGAGGGACAAAAACGGTTTAAGGGTGAGTTGGTCATTTATCTTTGAGCTGAGATCTCAGCTTTGAATCCATTTTACAACGTTTAATGATTGATATTTTGCTCTGAATATGCGGATTGCGGTTTGACAGTGCCTAATTTTATCGAGCCCCATTTAGTATAATGACCAGTACAAGTTCAACTTTTTTCCCTTATTTGGTAGAATCTAAATTGTTCATAATTCCCTTAACCCTGGTGGTTCAACCCATCAAATCGGGAAATATGTTTACTGGGAATCTAACGTATTTCATTTCTGTTCTAGAAATAGTCTTAGTATTAACAATTTCATTGATATGAGAGCTAACTGAGATTGGAGATATAGGTAGCTGCGTGCAATTAATTTAGGGATAGATTACTGCATTACATTAAGGTATTAATTTCTGGTTCATTTTTGCGTGTACCACCCCGTTTAAAATGACAATAACTTATGTGCGATGACCGGAAAATATCGTTTCAGATTTGGATGGATCCGGAGAAACCTATCAGAAAGCAATTGACAAGTAAGTAATTTCCTGTAAAAATCAAAAATTAAATTCCTCTTCCAAGATAGTAATTAATAACGATTATTAACTTACAGTGAATCGCAAGTATCAGGATTTAAGTACTCGTAAGTCGGAATGTCCTTATATATTTACTATTCAGAGCTATGACGAAATTTCATTATAATTACCATGGCGCCCAATAACGTCATGCATTCCAGATGAAGAAACAGCGTTAGACTTCACAGTAAGATTCTACGCCGAGGACCCATGTCAATTAACAGAGGAGTATACTAGGTAACTCTATGATTAATTTGTTGTTGCTTGGCCTTCGCACGGTTTAGTGGAAATTTGGCGGCACTGATCCAGTCATTCGCCGCTAATGTGGGACAAACGGTGTTGTTATTCCGGAAGTTATTGTAACGCGCGAAATTCTTTAACTTATGCTGAAAACGATGTTTTTCTTGCGCGGCGCACCAACAGATGTTTCTAACGCGCGAAATCGGCTTTTGTTTAAATTTAACTCAGTCAATGCTGGGTTTAGAATTTTGGGATGGTTCATGGCGAATTTCTGAGAAAGCTTTTTAAACCTGTTCTCGTCGCACATGGGGATAATGATTTATCGTTTCTGGTCTTAATCGTCGGTTATTGGACTGTACATACTCCAAAGCCACAATAAGTTATATTAGATCATATTATCATCAATATTATTACTAATGTGGCCGAACATTTTCCCGTGAAATATTTTTTTACAAGGATGGGTCTTATAAAATTATTATATGCACCGTTTGCACTTTTTACAATTTTAATTATTCCATTCTCATCTTTTTCTATTTCAGGTATTTCTTCTGCCTCCAGATTAAACAAGATTTATTAGCCGGGAGATTACCTTGTAGTTTCTACACTGGTGCTCTGTTAGCAAGTTACGCCGTGCAGGCAGAAGTTGGAGACTATGATCCCGACTCTGTGGATGTTGACGGAATCCCCAGTTATATCAAAGAAATGGAATTTGTTCCTGGTCAGGTAAGATCACTTTATTAGCTTTCAAATTGTCGCAACGTCGGTGGAAATTTACACCTATTATTGAAATCCCTTCGGATCATATCGGTCCCAGTCTAAAACATTATGTGAACACTTTTCTGTTCAGACTTAATCTACTTTTTAGTTCTTATAGCCACTAAACTTCGTAATTTTCAAAAATGTTTAATATGTAGTTCGATTAAAGGCATAGCAGTTCACAACTCAATCCATATTTAGACTGTTGATTTGTCCACTTATACAATATACAAGCTAATGAACTCTAACAAATGTCCGCGACAACCTGTCGACTTATTTCGAATAAATTGTTAGAAGGTATAGAGACATTAAGACCCTTGATTTTCGATAGAAACAAACAAATTTCGGTAAAATATTGGCACAACTTATACATCTTTATTCTTCAAACACATCGCAATTTATTTTAAATAAAATACAATACAAACAACGCCACTTAAAACACCATTAACAGCATTTGAAACATCTTTATAGGTCTGATGATATGTCAGCACAACTTTATCATTAATGAAGAAACGTAAACACATATGTTTACAAATAGCAGAATTCACAGGCTAGGCGATTGTATTTATTTATGAACAATTTCTCATTGAAATTCAAATAATATCACCCGATAATCTAGCTCCTTGAAGAATTTAGTCTGAGAATCGACAGTTACATTTAGATTCATGTATAGACCATTAACAATCTCAGTCAGCTGCGGGAGCTTTTGCATGGTGGAATATTTCATCCTGAATCACCCTCCTGAACAGGACCTTCGTGAAGTTCATTGAAGTTTGTGTTTGACCCTGACGGTTTCTTCCATCTCTTCCAAATGTTCATCTTCTCCACTTTCGTTATTCGTTCTGATCGAGATTTACTGAGCTTTGTGTTTGTTTTCTCGGATATACGTTCAATAACGGAGTAGGTTTTCTGTTTGTTGAATCTGTTTTTGATTTCATCGAGTCCGTTCGCGTTGGTAGGTGAGGTGTTGAGGTGATGGACTGCCTGCGTCATCGCATATTTCTGCCTGTGAGTGTGGAGAAGTTATGTGTCAAGTGTTAATAACATACCTCTTGTCAGAATTATCAGAGGAAAGATATCCGAGTGTTTTTAGGAATATTAATGCGAGGCATATTTGGGAAAATATTAGATGCTTAGAATATTTATAAGTCCGCTATCAACAACAACATCCAGAGCCTCCATTAAACTAGAATTGTGTTCCAACTTTAGACTTTAGCTTTTTGAAGCACTTGAGACAATATGCCGGCTCTAATCTCCGGACAAATCAACATTCTGTGCTTTACACTGCTATTATTTGAATTGTCACGTGTCTTAACTATTACTGAACATGTCAGATTAGTGAATCTTGATAATGTTTCAGCTGTACAATGCTCACTCATACTGCTGACAGCAGCGTACAAATGACGATAAGATCTTACTTGCTCAAACCATAGTAGTTCCAACAGGCAACAAATTCTACACACTCCAAAAAGACACTACATACTCCTGTATAGGCTTACCTTAGGGGGATTTTGAGCTCATCAATATCGTCGTTGCTGAGTAATCTGGCGATGTTGATGCTGGAAATGTCCTCATTCATCAGCTCCGACAGGGTGGTCTCCTGCAATTCATTTGCTCTACCCCACCTGCAAATTGAGGGAGTCCGTTCTTTTTTAACAAACTTGTCTGTCAAGTAAAGTGATTTCAAAGCAGGATTAGGAGCACATTGTGCGAATTTAAGTGTCTCTAAAAGTTTTTGATTTTGTTTGGCACATGCACAGATAAACTGTTTAAAAATACATATTGTAACACCCCATGCAAAAGAACCCATCATAGCTAGAACAGCTGACTAACTTGAGGAAGCTGGATTTGTCGTCTAGCAGGAAAGGATCCTCTGTGTCGGACTCGTGTGTTTCCTCTACCCAGCTGTTAGTCTGCTCGTACCAATCTTCTTCACAGTTTATACCTGCGCAGTACAGTTTTAACATCATAGTACATTTGGGGGCCTAATTTCATATCACAGCAATCAGAGGATCACAGTGCCCTAAAATAATTACTCAAACTAGCTCTTTAATGGGTTTCAATAATTTGCTTGCCGGAGTTAAACTGGAAGGTAATCCAAGTTACACAATTGTCAAGTCTCCAATATTTAAGAGTGTAAACTGTAAAAAGGTAACCCAGTAACGTACCGTTATCCTCACTGAGCATGGTGGTGAACTGGTGCCAGCTGAGAACTCGGCTACTGTTAGCATCACACGTGTCAAGCTGCGTCATTCTATCATCAACTAACAACAAGTTTCACGTGTGAATATGTATTGGAACTAATAAATCTGCTTATCAAGTTATCTTTCGAAAAATAACGTTACCATAAAAATGAAAATACTGAATAAAAAAATGTACGATTCAATGATGCAGGGTAGAATTAAGGGAGACCATACTAGATATCACGAGAATATCGCAACTGTACGTTGATGAAATTAAATTTAAAGCAACCACTGTCACCGCAATCTTAGGTGTGACCACTCCCAAATATATTATAATGCCAGATAACGTCAGAATCTTAAAATAACGGATCTAAGATATGAAAATGATGGTTTTAAATTATTATTAAGAAATGTAAGCACTACAACGAACTAAAAGCTTTTAAAAGACAGAGTACCATAAGCAGACTTACTGTTTCAAGCCAATAAGCATACTCTGACCATCTATCAGTGCACTATTAGTATCAGTGCTGACTTCAGCCCACTATTAGAGCACTTCAACACAGCCCTAGTTTCAACACAGCCCTAGTTTCAACACAGCCCTAGTTTCAACACAGCCCTAGTTTCAACACAGCCCTAGTTTCAACACAGCCCTAGTTTCAACACAGCCCTAGTTTCAACACAGCCCTAGTTTCAACACAGCCCTAGTTTCACGTCACACAGCACTAGTTTCAACACAGCCCTAGTTTCACGTCACACAGCAATAGTTTCAACACAGCCCTAGTTTCACGTCACACAGCACTAGTTTCAACACAGCCCTAGTTTCAACACAGCCCTAGTTTCAACACAGCCCTAGTTTCAACACAGTCCTAGTTTCAACACAGCCTTAATTTCAACACAGCCCTAGTTTCAACACAGCCCTAGTTTCAACACAGCCCTAGTTTCAACACAGCCCTAGTTTCAACACAGCCCTAGTTTCAACACAGCACTAGTTTCAACACAGCACTAGTTTCAACACAGCCCTAGTTTCACGTCACACAGCCCTAGTTTCAACACAGCCCTAGTTTCAACACAGCCCTAGTTTCAACACAGCCCTAGTTTCAACACAGCACTAGTTTCAACACAGCCCTAGTTTCAACACAGCCCTAGTTTCAACACAGCCCTAGTTTCAACACAGCACTAGTTTCAACACAGCCCTAGTTTCAACACAGCCCTAGTTTCAACACAGCACTAGTTTCACGTCACACAACACTATATTCAGGCCTGACTGCAGACCGATGCATTTGAGTACCGGGCTAGTACCACCGTGTTTAACAAAAGAACAAACTCACTCCTATGCTGACCGTGTTAAAATATCTGTATATAGAAAAGTGAAAAAACATAGAAATTGTGTAACTAAAAATAAGCGAGAGAGAGGGTGGTGATGGGGAGTCAAAATTCAGAAGTGAAAAGCAAACAAAATTATCAAAAGTAAGAGCTGTGTACAATGTAGTGCGTTTATTAATAGAACAAGGAGTTGTTGTGCCGTGTTATGGTGTGGGTTCAGTTATGTCGTTAGGAGCCAACAGTATACCCCAGCTGTTTAAGTTAAACTATCTAAAGGCCTAGTTTTACACTTAAAACTTAATGGCTTAATGTTAAAACGTATTACACAGTATAGATGCGTCTGTGCTCGGTTGCGTTTAATATCAAATAAGTGAATGTGTGTAATAAGATGGGGATATTTTGACCTGTTTTAGCCAGTCCAAACCCTGACTACATAGCATGTAAGGTTACCCTTAATTTGTTAATAAAAAGCACAAATACAAAGTTTGAATATATTTAATCACAAACAACGATGAAGCCAACAAACAGAGAAGTCTACGATATTACAAATCATTAAGCCAATAGCGAGATACCCTACACACCAAGTATCGACTTTTTGGCACAAGTCATTATATATAATATAGTTTGTACTCCTACAATATCATTAGTGAGTTGCAAATTCTACTGATCAAAGTGTCGTCGTATCACTACTTACAAAGTACATGGCACACAATTTATAACGATCCAAATACCGTCTGATCAGTTTCTAACAAAGTACATGGCATACGAATTCCAAAGATCAGCACATCTTTGCACAAATCACAACTAGAAGATACAACACATCCCAAAGCTGACCAGTACGTTTCACAACTGATAACTGGTTACATGTGAGGGTTCGTGTTGATGGGTGGTAGGCTGTACTGTGATACAGACTGTAACTATGTGGCCTGCTAGTTACAGTAGTTACAGGACCCTACCAGATCTCTTGACCTGCTCCACATTCCAACCCTCTATTAACTAATTACTGAAAAAAGCTCGCCTACCAATACAGCGTGTGGATATTGGCATGTGCTGTTGATATTGAGCTGGATAGTTTTGTTTTCGAGGACGGAAAGCCTGCCTGATAGTGTCAGAAGCACCACAAGTTGAAACATATTCAAAAGAAGGTATGAAAATACACGTATAATTTTACGGAACGGGACTAAACTGAGAGGTTATTTAAACTGGCATTTTGTCACGCCTTATATCGCTTAATATGAGATATTTAGAGAGCTTTCTAATTAATGTGATATATTCTGTCACGCGCTGTCATCGATGTTAAAATCCAGAGTTCGAGAATAAACTTGAGTTCATTAGCGAATTTTTTAATTAAACAACCAAGAAGCGTTACCAATACAAGGGATCACGCCTACGAGGGGGATAGGAATTTCTTAAAAGTTCCAACTTCAAGTTAACGCAAAATGCAATACTAAAGAAATTCTCTGCACCATCATGTCCCAAGTCTACGTTTCATAATTCTGTTACACAGCCAAATGTAAATTCTAATCAAATCATGTCATATGTAGAGCAATAGTAATAAACAAGACAAACTGGCTCTAGCTGGTATACCTGTGTATTATATATGGGTTCTTCCAGACCACTGTTTAGACACCTTCAGTTTGCCAGAGCTAGGTTTGAATTCTGAGGAAACTTGCTGGAATGTAATAAGGCCATTATCCTTATTCTGAAAACGTCATTTTAAGAAAAAGAAAAAAAATACCAGCTATCTAGATTCTAGTTCCAAGCAACAGCAGCCTGCAAGGATATTTTTGAGAGCACAGTCGATTGAAAGTAGATTTAAGATTGAACAATTACGAATTGAAAGTATATTTAAGGACAAATATATACAAATATACGTTTGAAAGGAGAATCACTCTATTTAACGTGATCAACCGTTATAACAACAATCTCCCCACCAAGACAAATTACTTCTTTTGTAAGGGATTTGAGATCTAAATGATATTAAAAGCCTACCAAAAAAGGGCAAACCAACTGCCATGACCCGAACAAAAGAAGGTAACTGTGAGCAACTTACAATTCCCACGTAACAATTCACGTTTACCTCCTTACAATATTCTCAAATTCTTTATTGCTATCGATCCTTTTATCTTTTAAAATCTCTCGATAAAATGCTTTGATCTAAAACCATTACTGAAACTATAAAGGCAAAATAAATTTGTAGTTATTAAATGCAAAGTTTAATAGAGTTGTCCATAATTACGGTAGACAGCCGGAGCTTCAGATCCGTTTGATTTCGGCAGAATTTTAAAAATCTATGATTACAAAGCTTTAACTTAACTATTGGCAACAAGAATCTGACCTAGAATCGTTTACCTCCCATTATTATCAAATACCCAACATCAACAAAATTTAAAAGCATTATAAAGCTTGAGCTCATTGGATGCTCTGTACTGCCTTACTAGCTACAAAGTATTAAGATACTTTGTTTGTGGTCGGATATAGTTATAGTAGTAATGGTAGTGAGATTATATTGGAGAACAATACAATCAGTTCGACCGCTCACTCTGACTCCCACAATCCTTGCACACATGCCTGCAATAATGAATTACCTTTTGCGGTGCCCATGTCAGAGGAGCAACACCTCTTATTGAAACATTCCCTGAATATGTGGTATAATTGGCATGTTCTATACAATTATCAATTATTCAATGTTATAGTATTACTCAAGCGTAACCACCTGTTGAGTAATGAGTATAGTGGTTAGCCTTGTAAGCTTCTCCGAGATGATAATTGCAGACCTTTATTTAACATTGTTATATAGCATTATAGATCAAGTGTCGGACAATAACACCAACCGCTAGTCTGCACGCTCGTAATGTGAAGGAAAACCGTGTTTATTTTTGCAAAAGCAAAAACAATTAATAAGATCTTTCTAATCAAGAGGTGACCCGGTAGTTTCATTGCGTCCTAATATATATTATATAAGAGATATATATCATAATATATTTTCATATATTATGATATACAATATCATTGGTCTCTCTCTCGGTTACGGTCAACGGACGCTGGCCTCCTGCGGTAAGCAGGAAGCCTTCTCGCCGTGCCCACAGAGTGCACATGCAACTCCTGCTAGCTAGACGCCAGGACTCCCAAAGTATATACATAATCATTAAAAATAAATATCATCACAACAGACCTCTGGAGTGTTGAAGCTATATATCATTGGTCATAGTACCGGAGTTGTTCACAGGAAAAGCATCAAGGTTGAGACACAGCGATGTTACAGTAAACGGGTAAAGCTAAGGGGTGCTCGCTCGGAGCTCAACACTCAATGGTACAATATTCGTCAGCAAAGTCATTATTGTAATTTATAATTCATATCATTGTTTGAATTGTAATTCGGGGACCCCTTCTCCGAACATCATGTCTAGATGATATTATTAGCTGCTGATACATGGCGTAGTACAATGGTCCCAGCTGGGTCATCGAGAGACCATGGCGAGAAGGGAGGGCGCCTACCCACTCACATCACACCAGCACCCACACACTCCTGCAGAAACGAACAATGCAAATGTACAATTAGTTAATGGACAGATGCAACAAGTTAAATTGTAAACTACAGATCATAATAATATAATTGTGATTGCGGATAATCGAAATAAGTTATCAAGGTTGTAACCGTACCCTTCTCTAAAGATGGATAAAATAATGCGAGTGCGATCTCTTTGTCTGAAAGTCCTTAAAAGGCCTAATTTGTTGAATAATTAATATTATATCACGGTTGCTTCGGGTAAAGTCGTGTGCTCTATTAACGCAATGAGACTAAAGTGCATCTTTTTATAGATTTGAGTGGTACAAAAAAAATTTATAGAAACTATAATATGAGAGCAACGGGTATATTAGTACCATTCAAACCCATTAGTGCCATCTGGATTATGGACCAGGTTTTAACGAGAATTTTAGGTTAAATTTAATCTATTTCTTTACAAAATTTAACCAAATTTAACTTAAATCTTGTATGATTATTGCATTGATTATGATATATTATATTGTCATAATATTATAAATATGAATTTTAAATGCCCTATTAAGCGCCTATTATTCACAAGGGTTCACGTCCACACTAACAATTCAGCAACAACATGGCTGTGAAACGTGAATAAAATAACGTATGTTTTGTTTTTGTTAGATAAGAGATTATGTCTACAAATTTTACAGAATTAAAAAATTTAGGACTATATTCTTAAGATTACAAGACAATATTAGATCATACCCTCTCGACAAATACTAGCCCTCGTCTTAAACCATTAACTTGAGCCGGACTTATAGCTATGCAATAATTTAAATAGTTTTAATTTTATTGTATGATTCAATTGCGAAATTGCTTAACTAAGGAGTTGAACTGAGGTTGAAAGCAAATATTCGTATAATGTGGTTGAATGATTTGTTCTAATTTAGATAAATAAAAAATGCATTTTAGCAATGTACGTCTGAATCCTAATTAGAGTTACGTAAATCGTAAGCTTTATTTAATAAGTATACGAAGAACACCCACTGTGCTTGTCCTGACGCAATGGTACAGGTAAAGAAGTGCAATTAAATCGCCATAGAGTTAAAGAAGGGTCCAATAATCCTTCATAATGGCTTGCTTGATGATATAAGGACGGTAATTTGACCGGAACCCCCTGGATAACTCAACTAATTACAGATTACCGGACTATTTCCTATCTTGCCTCCTTCCTTAACTCATTTAAAGCTCTACTCTGGATTAGCAGATGTCTTGAGTGCATCCCCCGCATGGTCTACCATACCAGTCAGATAAAGTAAGACTAAAACTGTGCAGCTGTTCACAGAATACTGGATATTATATCACCGAGTATGTTTCCAATCTGTCTTGATCTCAGGACCCCTCCCTCCCTCCCTGCTCCAATAACGTAGTTCCAATTATTGTCCATATTATAACCGTACGATAGACAGGATATTGGCGAATTCATAATGGCTTTCCAGGAATAGTGCCTGATTTGTAGAACTCTTTGTGAGGCCTGACAGCTTTATTGGTTGCTGGACGCCTTGGGAATTGCTTTCTAATACTTGATGGTGGAATGTCATCTGCTTTTTAACGACAACCAACTCTGTAAAGGCAGCGTTTAAGTCGGATATAATTTGATGCTAAATTTTGCTATAATGTCCTGTTACAGGTAGGATATTAACTATTGATATCATACAACGTAACAACGTAATTATGAGTTAGGACAATGTTCAGACAGAATGTTGACAGTATTTATGATACAATATGCGCATTGCGCGGGTACTGTAGTAAGATGCACCAGAAACACTTTTTATTTAAAAAATACTGGAATTGGTCAGAAAGATGTCGATCAAACAAACCATGCTCAATACAAAACTTTACTTTCGTACAAACTACAACGAATTAAACTACGTGAGACTCGGAATGACGCAACCGGTCAAGGTGTAAATTATGTTAGATGTCTCAACTAGGTAAAGGACCGATTTTTAAAAGGTGTCCCAGTCATAATGATTTTCGATCTTCATCTCTTATTTGATGGTTTCGTTACTTCATAACTATAGTCTTCTTCCTCTCCATCCTCTTCAGGCATTCAAACGACTGATCATAAGGAATTTGTAATCATCCTAAACGCCGTAGGATGAAAGTTAATAAACTTAATTAAAGCAAATAACAAACACATTTATTCGTGTTGACAATTGAGTCTAATTCTAAAGAGAGGACAACAAAATTAAGACAGCGCTCAAACACCAAGTAATCATCGTATTAGATCTGACCGTCATTAGAACCCTCAACCAATCACAGCCTTTAATCAAATCACGTGAACATTGGTTGGTAGATGGTTTGTAGATCCGTCCGTCATTGGAATTCATTTTTAAATTGCTACGATGAGGCTCCATTTAGAGTAGCTGGGCTGCTATGTGGTTTCACGGTCCGGGACTACTGAAACAACACACAAACAGCAGCTGGTGGAAGGTGAATGAACATGGACAAGCTAGTACTATTAACTAAAGACATGAGAAGCACACAGGCCCTGGCACCCTGGGAGAGTGTACCTACACCAGGGTGCACCTATTCAATGAAATGACCTTGTCTGTCCCTCGAGCGGGAGCTAGAAACACGATACTGCCTCCCAGGCTCCGATTACCACGCTCTACTGCATCCTGCCCAGACATACTACAGATATATCCCCTGTGTGGTTAGTCTTGTACCTGGATCAGGGAGGGAGATGTGGTAACATTCCTTATTACAATGCTGCCGGAGGATTAAATTAATCGTCCTGTCGGGCTTGTCAACCACAATGCTGTGTCAGGAAGGTGGATTTCCTGAAGATAACAAAAGATTGCTACTACCAGGTGCCTTGTTCAGGACTCCTGCCGATCGGGAGGATCGCCCGGGAACTTGGAAATTACCAGACCCCGCTTGATGGGTGAGCGGTTAACAATAGAAATACCAGTCGTTAACAAAATTAACAGTTCTGTAATGTGATAAACTGTAACTAACAGATCGAGAGAGCATGAGCAGATTATAATGAATGTTTTTATGCACACTTATTGCGGATTGGTGTGATGCAATCGTATTCGTAAGTGTCCACTGTTCAGCTACTCAAAGTTAAAAACCAATCGTGGGTCACAATATAAAACTGTTAAACTGATGCAGTATGCACTTAAGAAGTATTCAGGAAGTCGTATGTATGGTGGACTGTGGATAAAATATATAACAAAGTATTATAAAATAAGTGCGGTTGATAACCGTTTTGTGGATAGTACAGGGTGTTCCAAAAGAAGGCCTCCAAGTGACTTTTGTTAATAACTCGCCTTACATTTGATTTTACAGCTTAAAACTTCTCAAATAATGTGGTATGTTGCTCCGATCCTGAATCTGTGTCTAAAATATCAGGGTAAAACTCTGGAACTCTGGATTGATTCCCAGCATTTTAAGGCTCTAACCCATTCAGGAGCTGCATGATGATCACGTGATCCACCCTGTCAATAGTTGCAGGATCTAGCTAGCTCCTGGGATCGGCTGATCACCGCATTATCTGATTAGGTGCCCGGTACTCAGCTGCATGCTAACGAGTCAGTCTGTTAGAGCCGATCAAGCACCCAATCAGCACATGACACCTGCAATAAATTACGACTCCTGCGAGGTTTTCAGGCAGATTAAGTGGTGATCCAAGCTCAGCATCACATGACCATCACTTTGGGACCGAGAACAAGCTGATAGCAGAAAAAATTATCGAGATATCAGACATTTTGTAAAAAAAGCGTCATAAGGCTGCCTCACCCAACTCGAATAAACTTGAAGTCTGAAAATGCCCTGTAAATATTAAATTTTGTTCTAAAACTGTTCTTGAGTTATTAACACGGATCACTTGGAGTTGGGGGACTATTCTGTAGAATAGTTTCATTTCGCATGTGATTTGCAGACAATATTCACCAGAGACGAGCAAAAGGCCGTGAGGTGCAGAGCAAGTAATATAGCCACTCTCAATAGTGTAAAATAGATTGGATTCTCTGGTCACGTGAGAGGTGTAGAGATCCATTTAATATATTGATCTGAAGCTCAAGTAGCCCGCCTGAAGTTCGACTTGATAGATATATGTTGTTGCTCTAAGGGACAGATATAAGACATGAAATTAATGTTCTGTAACAAACTTTCCGACCAACAACATTTTAATTAAATCGTAAAACTATTGAAGAGTTAGCTAGTAATATAATTATAATATATATCACTGTTACGGTAATATATATTATATTATTATAAAATCCGAAATTATTGGCCGTTTTTACCTCCACATTTTCTGCAGAATGAGGAGTTTGAGTGCCAAGTGGCGGAATTCCACAAATCCCACGCCGGACAAACGCCTTCAGACGCCGAAATGAACATGCTGGACAAGGTGAAGCGACTCGAGCTGTACGGAGTTGACCTTCATCTTGCCATGGTAAGTGCTTCGACAGAGAAAAATTATAATCAAAAATTCTGAATATTTATTAAAAGATCGTGGCAGTGGCACGTGTCGGCCGTACGTGGTATGAATCAAGTTTTTACCATATACGGTGCGGAGTCCTGCCTTATCCAATACCAATTTAAGATGTCTCAACGATCATGGCTGCAACGACCATGGCTGCACTGCGCAGCATGGATTGAAAGTCATCTGAGTTATCATTTTGTCGATTAACTTTAAAATGAGCTAGTTCGATTTAAATTATCCTTGTCGAGCCTAAGCCCGGTCAGTTCACGACAAATCACCGATTCTTTAACGGTCTGAAAAGGATTAATCTATAAATTGCTTTCCTTTACTCGAACATTTTGATACGATTATTTAACAGGATCTGGAAGGAATCAGGCTATATATCGGGATCTCCCCAACGGGGATACGTATCTACCAAGCTGGAGATATGGTCAGAATGAACTCATTCAACTGGGCTAAAGTTCTTCAGGTATATAATATATAGTAACGAACTACAGATTAGATGTTGGTTAAAGAGGGCTCTAAGCTGTTGAAAATTAATTAATGGTTATCTTATAAATTTTGTGAAAATATCGACGAATTAGAAGCATCGCCAAGTCTGAGAGAACGGAAGTCTTCGTGGCACATTTCATCACGCATTTATAACATATTTTTACCCACCTTATCATAAATGGAAGTCAATCATAGCCACACGATTCAAATTTTAAAAAGACTATAACTATGTTGGAGGAAGCGAGAGACCGAAAGCTAACCCCAATAAAACTTTCATTAGATAATTAATGTCGTGTGGTTTAATATAGCCGCGTGAGCTGTCAATTTCTCTATATGGAAATGAGCTACATGCGGTCCGGTGAATATAAGATAATCAGTTCCATATTAACGACAGCTGGTGTTCTGTCAGTGATTAATCGACATTCATTTCAGGTTTCATTCCACAAGGACAAGTTTTACGTTCAGCTTCGACCTTCAGAGGTGAGTGTGGTTGAGCGTGGTCAAGAAGTATGTTAAATGTTCGATTATGTATGGTAGTGAACAAGCCAACCAGCGAACCACGAAACCGAGAGGAAAATATGGCGATGAAAACCATCAAATATCCCTAGGAGACTGAGCTTAGCAAATTTTTGAGTATGAGAGTGGTAAATACTAAATTAAGATTATATTCAAGAGATTAATAGGCGTGATAAAAGGATTCCAGTCTAGACTGTGTAGCAAAATTAACTCAGGTTGCCGGCACTATAACATAGAAACAGAACATCAAAATTTGAGATATCAAAGCTGCGAGCCTTATAACATGGTAAATTATTTGACTGCTTTACCACGCGGACAGGACTAAAAGCTTTCTCGATTGTTGTAAAACTCGATCAATATATTAATATGCCCTATTTAATTGACAATTTGTGTCGACTGTCGAGTTTGAATTGTCATGGTAACACTGAAATTGCTAGGAAAAAGGGAGGCCCATAAAACAGCCGAGACCTTAAAAGCATAAGTACGCACCAGGCATACTCCAGGCATGCTGACGTTGAGCTATATAGAACAGTTTCATGGCAAATGAAATTACATATGTTGCAAATTCTAAAATTATAGGGTTTTCAAGTTGCAATCCGGCTTCATGATCTTTTACTGAATTGTCTGGGGTGATGAACCAAGGTGGCTCGAATAATTGTTCCCTTGATAGACACTCCGCGTTAACAGTTAATCCCCAATAATCGATATGAATGCTCTATTCTTCCGGAACTGTATTAGTTAATTGGTCATTCTAATTCTGGGCAATCTTTAAAAAAACAGTTCGCGGTATGTACGAACTACCGATTAACATTATTGGCATCATCTAATGTTACATAATATTTCAGAAATCAGTAGTTAAAGATAAGATCGGTTTTAGGATACCCTCTGTGGCAGCCTGCAAAGTACTATGGAAGAGCTGCGTCGACCATCACACTTTCTTCAGGTATTGAATCACACTACCTTCAGGTATTGAATCAATCAGAAGTTTGGGAGGTCGATCAAGTTTGTTGTTACATAATATTACGAAGCCTTCTATTCAACAAAATAAACGTGACCAATGTACCAACTGAGATATCAGATATAAAGTACAGAGTTATATTACAACATGCGCAATGTTCACCTGGCACTAGGTAACCAACACGAAGATAACATTGCCCCTGGGTCGGGCTACTTAACCTGGTGGCCCATTGTACTCAAAGGTGAAATTGCCCTGACCCTGTTTAGCCCTAATCCTTGTAACGGGTTAGAGTTCCGAGCTGGGGGGGTTGTAATAATGGTAATAACACCCCACACTCATCACTAACAATAGGCTGTACCCCTCCCCAGATTGTACGTGGCAGAGAAACGAATGCCGGCCGTGTTTGGGCTCTTCAGATCCGGATCTAAGTACAGAGCAAGGTAAGTTTGATAATGTTTAAAGTTCAAAGTAATGTTTTGTAATTAAATATTATCAATTGTACCAAGTACCAATTGTACTTTTGCAGATACGTGATCGATTACATCGACGGATACTGAGAGCAAAGGAATTTGCAGAAATTAAATTATACAAAATTCTTTACCAAGCCGTGGAACTTGGTCGTTTGAGCACGGAAACTATTAGTCCATTTAGTGGTAATGACAGACCAATAATGTATACTGGCTACCACTCTATACTACTAGAGGTTATGGAATCAGCTACTATATTCCATTGTGGAATATATGTGCGTTTTGGTGACTAATGCACAGTTGTAGGGCGGCCAGCTGCCTTATACTAGTCCACAGTGTGACGTGCACAGAGCCCCTCCCTCTGCCCAGCTAAACTAAGCATCTTAATGGAAAATAGTCGAGCTTTCAAAAACCCAAAATAGGTTTTTTTTAAATAGTTTTTAAAACCCGAAATAGCTAAAAATAAACGTACACTGTGCAAGAGGAAGGCTGAAATCTCCATTTTATTAGCCGTTGGTATGAAAATTTGACACATCTTTAAATCCCATATCAAGGTTGCCGAATATTTACAGTATCGCACTTTTCGTATTTGTCGAGACAAAAAAGTATATTTGGCGATCTTAAATCTAGTGTTGAGTACTCAGGAATGAACAGCTAAGGCAGAAATACGGCGCCACAATCCAGCAGAGATCAGAAACTAGTACATGCTCTTGCAGAAAGTGCACCAAACTTGATTCGCATAACTCACCCAACGGTGTGTAACCCACTTGATTTCAGTGTGCGAGGAACACAGAAACAAGCCCTGGAAAGAAGCAAGAGTTGTCATGCTCTCGCCGAGTTTAAAGAGGTCACATTTGAGAGGTAACGATTTTGTTAAGCCCTTATAAGCTTATAAATAGTTAGTATTATCCGTTTAAAATTGCCTTTTCTTTTGATAGATCGTGTATTTTCTTGATATAAGAGCGGTAGCAGACATCACCTCAGAACACCAAGTCAGCGAATAGGCAAGTCCAGATCGGAGGGAGCTATCAATCTGTTGGGAGCTAAACCCTATGTCAGGAATTCATTCTACGACACGTACCGATCAGCTCCATCAGACGAGAGATTGAACAAGCAAGGAGATAGTTTCATGGTAACTACCACTGTTTCACCAGTAGAGAGACAGGTTAGTCTGGGGAATAAACACATACTTACATACCACTAACTTTAAACTAACCTACAATTACATGGAGACAACAATACACACAAAAGTTACAAAATACAGCAATAACTAGATTTAATTTCTATATACTTAATGTACACATTCTAGTTGGGTACTGGCCTGTTCTTTACACTACTAGCAGTTTATTAACGTGTGCGGGGATGATAAATATGCCGAAATTCGGAGAATTCGGAGTTGTCGCCGAGAAGTGCAGCCTCGTTATTTGATTCGTTACTCAAACAGGGAATTATTGTATCGAACATGGTAGAGTGGCCACATACGAAGTAGGGATATCTTTTTAAAAGTATGGTATCAAAATAGAATGGAAAGTGTCGACAAGGTATAGCCTCCAAAACGTTATGCCTCTAGAATTAAGTCGCCTGTAAATTAAATGCATCTATTATTATCATGACCAAATTAGGGCTGCTTATATTCTGGTATCATAGATGGACGGTACCAGAACTAAGCCATGCCAAGGCAAAGGAACCCACGTTTAACGTTATGCAATGATATCTATCGAACGATAAATATGGCCGGATATTCGCGTTCTGTAGAAACTTGTAAAGTTGTGAAATGAACCGTCCAACGAGGAGTGGACACTATTCATGTTTACTAATAACACCCAGTATTCTAAACACGTGAAATGACGTGGAACAAGCAGCCACCTCAACAAATGAAGCCTTGCTTTCAAAAACGCTATCAATTAGCACAGGTATCTTTTAAACGGTCAGCACGAGGCGTTATGAACTCATGACATGAGGACCAATTAAGCGATCTTAATTGACGATTATAAGCTTGCCTGTCCTGATAACATTTCAATATATCCGCATCCTCAGTGCACGGGCTGTAATAATCGCACGGCAGGAACAACCAATCGTTTAATAACGGCGAATTTTGACCCTGTTAAACCCACGTCAACAAAACGAGTCAGAAGTTGTTTTGGTGCGCTTCAGTGCTTACTGCTCCGTTATTAACTGAGGTTTAGAGACAAAGTTTGTCCACAAACGGGCAATTACGCTATAACTACTTCTCCAGAAAGTGTAAAGTCAGGAAATTTCCTGACCAGGAAACGGGTTATGTCCTAAAAACAACAATAAATAGTGAGCTATTCCGTGTCACAAGGAAAACGTTTCCGATTTTAAACGACATTTCTGACTGTTCTGTTCACGCAGGATTTGGACGAAGACTCGGACAGATACGCTAACAACGAGCTTGATCAAACTGAACCCGGAAATACAAAAACTCCGACAATACCGGACACCGGATTAACAATGACAGTGACGGATCTGCCGGAGGAGGGACCGACTTACATTAACTTTAGGGACCCACAACACCCACGAAATGTGCGTAAAAAGTGGTATTGTGCTGAATATAGCTCCATGAAAATAGTCTAAATTTAGATACACCCAACAGAATTGTGCGTGATTCTCGAATCCAATTTGCTAAGTGATAAAGTCTGCAGATTTATGTGACCGACCCTCTACAAAGACGCTGAGCGGAAGACTTAACAGCTTTTCCATTCAAAAACACTATGTCGGAAATTCCGCCCTTGGATTTACTTTGAGAACAGAATTATTGAGACTACTGTGCCACGTTTTCTCTTATAAATAACATTTGCTTTGTCATTATATTCCTAAAGAATCGTAAAAACGGGTGGGATAGTGCAATAATCAGTGATCGACCGGACGCAAAATTTTTGCCAGGTCTGGTGGAGCCATATTCGGCCGGGGACTGGTACTTCTAGTGGGGGAGGGGGGTGGGAGGCGTGGGGCCTTTCCACTTGACATAACAAGAAAATATAAAATTTAATATTAAAGATAATTGATAAATGATTTATCATTTAGTAGATCTCCAGGTGATCACTGACTACTGACTATGATAACCTTATATCATTTTTTTCATTCCAGAAAGTCACCTTCATATTATTATATTTCAGCCATCAGCAGAAGATGACCATGTTTATAACAACATGGCGAACACTCTGGGACCTAAGTTCGTTCCGGTAAGTAAGCAAGTGTAAATATTTTGCGGGGTGGCACTTTGGAAACTGAGTTAGAAATTCAAACGAACCCGGCTAAGAAATAGAGATATTGCTTAATGGGCTACATTGATGAGGTTAAATCGTTAGAACAGCTCCGCTGGAATTGAATGATACTTCATTCGGTCGACCTTGGGAGGCAAAATTCATTTACCGTAGTTTCGGCCAGTTACAACTCTCAATTAGCTCTGTTGAGTGGCGGTTAATCTACCCTAGCATCTTAATGAGCCGTACAAATTCAAGCTCTGCAGGCAGTCATTATTTACTAACTGTTCTTGTGACTTGGGTACAAGCATCATTTTACTTGAAAATAACATCATTAGTTGCTAATTTCTATTAATTTGTTGCTAACATTCATCACCAAGTTTCAGCAACTTGTAGTTTAACAAGTAAATCCCCTCTGTAAGTGAATGAAAGTGTGAGAGTTGTGTCCTTTAACCTGAGTGCATTTCTAGTGTGAAAAGTGTTTAAACTTTTTCCAAAGTTTAATCTGATTTATAATAGGGAACATAATTCCTTCTGCTCCTGCAATCACTTTATTTTCTAGTTCAAAATCAATTGGTATCCCCCCACAAAACATGTGTTAATGTAATGTGCAAGCTTAGATAAAAATAACTTTACTGCACAATCTCAGAAACAAATTCCAACGCTAAGATTAAGTAACTCCCTTTTAATGAAGGAGCCGGCGCCTGAGGAAGACCACATGTATGCAAACCACGGAGACATCCCTCCTCCTAACCCTAGACTCGACATTCCCACCAAAGCAGAAGAATCATCTGGTGAGGAAGAATCTTCTGAAGAAGAGGATGATGATGAAGAAGAAGAAGAAGAGCATGTATATGCTAGCCACGCAGACCACATAAAACCCGCTCCTGCCCCTGACCCTCCAGCTCCTGAAGTTAACGAGCCTCCAAAACCACCCTCTGAGGAAGAGGAAGAAACCGATGAGGAAAGCGAGGAAGAAGAGTCAGGAGAAGAAGAAAGAGAGTCAGAGGAAGAAGAAGAAGAAGTGGCACCAGAGCCAGAGTTGGAGCCGAAGTCTCCTGCAGTGTTTGTTCCCCCTGTGAGTCTGGGTCTGCATTGTAATCCGGTAATCATGTGCATGATTGAAGGGTCCAGCTTGAGCTGTGGACTTCCTTTTTAATGAATGATATTGATGTTGTTCACGTTCGTTTGAACGTTGGTGACAATTTATTGTGCGATGTATGGGTTATCACGTATTAAATAATGTTCTGTTTAAATCATGATGCTGGAAAACTGCAACAGGTCTTGATGACCTGTTTACCCATGGTCCTCTCTGACATGTTCCTTGATTAACATTTGTTAGAACTCAAGTTACTTTAATGATAAGCTAGAGCTTACATGCTTTTAGGAATATTAGTTGGAAGCTATCTTCCATCACATTATCCTTATTTCCTCTTGTCAAGTTAACCGAATGTACAGGTTCCTCGGGATGCACGCAAACATTGTTATTATTTCCGCATGCAATGATTTTATTGACAGGATCTAATTTTGTCTTGCTGGCTTTTTATTCAAGCTGGAACAAGGAACTAAGTTCATCTCCTCCAGCCATCAACTAAGGAACCTGAACCCGTTGAAAGTGAAGATGAAGATGAAGATGAGGATGAGGATGAGGATGAGGATGAAGATAAATCATCTGATGAGGGAGACGAAGTTGACGGGGACTCTTCAGACGGGGAGTCTGAAGTAGAACAGATCCCCTTGTCTGTTGTAACTCCGAAGAAACCACCACCGGTACTAACAGCATGGACTAAAGGAGACAATCTAGCTGCAATCTATCTCGCTGCTCATTGGACCTCCAGTGACCAATCTATTATCAACCGCTTAATTTGGATTCTTCTGATCATTTTTATTCTAATCTTTGCTTGATCTTTATTCTTATTATTTAGGAAACTCTCTTGATTCTTGTGGTATTTAAATACCATTTAACGATAAGATTCTCTGCTAATCTTCTTGATCTTTCCGCTGATTACTGGTTCATTTTACGCTGCCTTAATGGGTTAATGAACATGACATCATTGACTCTTATCTTATCTTTAATTTCGTTTCAATTAACGTTGTAATGCTGCTGATCAGTAATAATAATTAATACTTTGTGATGATTATTTGTTACACTGAAACATTTAGATGAATTTTAGATAATTTTCCTATTTCCAATCTATATTCATGATAGTGATAACGCTTATAAAATATTCTAAACAGGACTGCGTTCTTGTTTCGCATGTTTAATCTGTACATGAAACTCTCCGGATGACCCTGAATGGTATGAGTCGTAATTGCATGACTTATTGAACTAATCCACAAAGTGAAATATTCCTAAACTCTCCCAAAACTAAACTAAAACCCCCTCAGCCTCCTCCGCCATCATATCAAGAACCTGAAAAAGAGATCCCTCTATACACCGCAGTGGTGAAACCTAAACCGCCGGTAGTTGCCGCTAAACCGGTGTTACCAACCAAAACACAACCTCAACTCACAGTAGACAGTAACCGAGCTAAATCAGCATCTCCCATACCATCAAATACGGTACATTTGGTAGGGAGTAGTTCATATCAGATCTTATTCTGAATGTTCGTTACAATTCCCATTATTATTAACAAAATATACTTATAACGTATTTAAAATTTGTTTGGGATTTCGGGGAATATCTTGTGGCAATTTAATAGAATGTTTCAATTTGTTCAGAATGAGCCGCCTCCAGTGGTTGAATACGACACGATAGATATAGTGAGAGCTCCAGTAGTGCCACCTAAACCCACTATTATGAACGGAGACAGGTAAATACAATACGAGCACAATTACAAATCTTTACTCTTTAGTTAGAATATTTTAATTGGCACTTATTATTTAACGATGTGCGATATCAAAATTATGAAACCGATAAACCTGACATCTTTTAATCATTGTTTCGAATTGCAAAATAAGTAATTGGATAATTTCTTTCGCATGGGATCCATATCATGACCCTTGATTGATTATTTTTCCAGAAAACAGCCCGAGGCAGACAAACTTAAGAACAAATTCAATGAGAAAGAAAACGAAGAAAAGCTTCCGTGGCACGATGTAAGTGACTTTATATGAGTGGTACCCAAGATAATATACCTTTTAGAAATACTCATTAATTTACCATATTAGGGTTGTATTTTATGACTATTATATATCAGTACAACTATATAATATATAACAATCAACGTACCATGCAAATAAGAGGGTGCGACAAAGTTAATGACTGTTTCAGAAGAAATGCCCAAATTATCGGCGGCCGCCGCCGGAACGGCGGGTTGAGGATCAGTACTATGGTCAAACATGGTCTCCAAACGTGGGTTTCCTGGTCATCTTACATCTTATTCATGCTGTCTTAGCACCTTATTATACCCACAAATTGCTATACTTACTACCTCTAGCTCTTGCCGTTCTAAAAATACTTCAGGATCTTTTACTTCAAAAGATATTCAACTTTTCTATGCTAATTACTTATTTCTCTAGAAAGCTTTCTGCTCTCCTTTGTAGAGATCAAATTAAATGAGGAACACGGTATTAAGGTTTTGGGAGAAAAACCAATCAGCGTAGGAGAATGGTGGACCATTATGATTAAGGGAGGGAATATAATTATAACCGCAGTCAGCAGCAATTTATTTAGTGATTTTTTAGGTCGAAAAATTTAATTAAACATGAGAAAACATGGCGTTTTCATTGCCGATGGTGCTCTTTGGAAGGCCACCTAACCATTTTAGGAACGATGTAGTAAGCGTACTGAACATATATTATTACACATAATTAACTTTACTTTTAACAACGCTTCCTCAGCAACTGAATCTCCTAATTTTTAAATTCCGTTAAAATTCCATTTGTGTTTTTTAAAGATTCATTTAAAGAGGTTTGAACGATTCTTTTAGCTCAAGTATTCACAAAACTTCATAAACTTTATGTGTTATAATTTACAATTCTTTATGATAAAGAATTGTAAATTATTTATAATTCGGGAAGTGTTAAACACCACTGCAACTGCAATTGAAGGCCTTTCAAACTTAGCCTTCTAAACCTTCATGATTTTGCAGATATGAGTTTAATATACATTTTTGTAATCTCATTAGGTTCGGGTTTTTAATTGCCTTCGAGCAAAATCAAAACTAGAGCACGTTCAAATCAAAGTATTCGGATATATAAAAATTCGAACGCCAATTCGAACATAATAACGATTCGCAAGTTCAAATATCTGTTCGAAAGCTGTGATACCAACATTTGGATTTAAATCGCATTAAATCGTCAATTTAAGAAGCATCAGAAGATTCTGCTTGCACATATTTACGACATGCTGACAGAACTACACATTATTTATACTGTAGTACTATAGATTCGAATAAACTGGAGAAAAATATTGGCTCTAACCCAAGTTATGCCTTTATTGTGTCCTAAGTTTATGGTTATAATTGCGTATGTTATCCTAAGCCTGAACCATAAACTGTTCTAATTATGTGTCGTTATATACTTATACAACATATTAACCTTCTCCAACAATGCCCAGTGCAGCAACCTCTTACTTACGTACTTACTTACGTACTTACAGCCTCCTCAGTCCTCAGCTGGAAATAATCATGTAATGTATTCCTTACATAGTGTCGAGCGTGCCGGGAATAATATTTAACAATAATTAAGGAATGATTCTGGAGAGTGTTGACGTCATTTCACAGAGTGCAAGTGCAAAATGCAGCATTTTGAACGCCTGCAACTAAATGACAAGAACTGCAAACGTCTGAAAGTGAAATTAGGAAATTACATTCACAGCCCTGTGGAGAAACTGTGCAATTAGTAAGGCTCAAACTATCAAATGTTAAGACTTAAAGTGTGGCAATATTACACGTATCCAACAACACACCAAGCTAACAACGTATTACTGGAATGCCGAGATACCCTCACTGGTCCAAGCCAGGGTGGTAAAAGCAGCTTGAAAAGTTGCTGACACTAGTTCGGGTGATGATAGGAGACCGTGGCATGATTTCGGTTAATTTTTACTGCCCGCGCCCGTGTCGGTCAATCCTGCCAATTCCGTCGAATTAAAAGCCTTTATAGACAGATAGACCAGGGCTTAGTCGAATACAAAGAAGTATTCGTTCGATTACAATACAATTGACGGTTAACTTCAAGTAGCATTTTTCATAAAACACAAAAACGTACGTAGTTTCGATACCTTCGTATGGAGAGAATTGAGAATTATAGTGAAAGGACTAAAGTCATTGATCTATTGATACGCAACTTGTCAGTAGAGTACTGTATCGCAAAATGACGGACATTAAATGTATAAATAGCTTTAAATATCGAACAGATGTGCAGTTTTTTGTGGGCAAAGATTCATTGTTTTACAGTTGTTGCGTAGTGTGTAAAGATTTTTCATGCCATTGCGTCCGATGATGTTCGCGAACTTTGTCATTAACTTGTAAAAGAATTTATTACAAGTTGGTAAAATAATCTATAAATAAACGATAAAATATTAGTATGCTTCGACGATTGCGTTTTCCTTAGCTACGCATATTTTGAGAATAACCTCATCGAGCTACAATCACAACAAAAAATATTATCAAAACGTACAGTTTGCCATGATGGGTATTTCATTCTCAACATGCTCAGTAAATATAATAGAGTTTAGAGTCCAGTGCCTGTCTCACTCTCAGTAACTAACAGTACAGTAGCGTGGTAAATAATCCGTGTTAGTGATCACTTTCTGAACTGAAAATGACCAGAAATATGCGCGCTGACGTCAACAACCCACTGCATAATAGCAATGATAATATCTAAAAGGAAGGTTCCACCTCTAGTTACAACTTATACTGTGACGTCACACGCGTGACGTCACAAGTACCGGCTGCTACTCGAGCAGGTGCAAACAAATCGTATTTATATACCCATTCTAATGGGTCGGAGCCGACACGCTATTTTAGTACTTATGCTGGGGACGAAAGGTCGAAGATGACCAGACGATCGCCAGACCTTCCAAACAATAGCACCAAAATTAGTGCCTGGAATATCAGTATAATTACCGGTATTTTCATGTGCCCAGGAGCCTTAAACTTGTACACCACCAGACTGTAGGCTCGAGGCAATAGTACAATCTTTTGGCCTGTTGAGCGGAGCAGATGGTATAAAAATAGGAGATTAGTCTTGACACGCGGTAGATAATGGATTGCATGCTTTTAAATACTATAATTCTTTTTATACTAGAGTCTAGAATGCTAACTATATCTTTAATGTTGCTACTTACCTTTATACATAAAAACATAGCACGAATTCTGTATCGAGGAAGTGCCCATTTCTACAAGTACAATGTTACCCATTCAACCTGTTGGGACGATATCTTACTGTTTATTGAGCTTATTTTAAAATATTGCTTCCATTTCAGAAGAGCCAGTATAACCTGGACGACGAATGGCTGGAGCTGGACCGTCTCACACAGGTATGAAACCACACGACCAGAACGGTTTGTTTGTATTGTTAGATTTGTTACTGTGACAAAAGGACATATTTGGGTTATTTCGCCATTCTTGTACCAAGGATAGATAGCTCTGTTGATTACCTACGGTGCGAAATTCAAATTCTCTCTTAAAATTTTATTTTAAGAGTGAATTTAGTTTTACATCAAAAACATGATAAACGGATAGTCCTTCAACATTTCTCACGTCTATTGAATACCCAAACAAAATTTCGATGGGCTTATGAGTTAATATTGTTAAAAACTACTCTCCTATCGATCTGTGGTAATTACTTTGAAATGGCCGAATGATAATTATATATGATTTGCAATTAGCACACTCTAAGCTTCTAACCCTGCCAGTTCGCTTTATGGAAGTATGGATGCTTTAGATCAATAAGGAGTTAAATCAATGAATAAGGAGTAGTTGATGATAGGCAAATAATAGACACGGTGTGGTTTTTCTTGATTTCATCATACAAAATAATGTAACTATTGTAATCATCAGTGTAGTTACATTGTTTTCGTTACAATGTAAAGATAGACTGGCGTATCTTGGCATTACTCACCATCTATCTGTCACTTGTTTGTTTTGCTTGCAGCTTGATAGCCTAAATGAGAGAAAATCCAGTTGAGCGCACCAAATACACAAACTTCTTGTCGAGAAATCACGCATTCCAAAGACGACCAGATGATTTTCTAACTATACCACCCAATGGAAGGCCAAGGGGTGTGTCTCCGCTCTACGATCCTTGGCAACGTTTAGGCTTGGAATTGGGTTCTTGTGGCAATCTCCGGTCTCGCCAAACTAGTTTAGAGCACTATAATAGCCGAGGTCCTGAACCTTCCAATTTAGTGAAAGGTCTTAGTCTTGACTCAGTCTGTACAACTTATTCTCAGTACAAGCAGTATGCTCCGAATCCTCAGAATGCTCCTCAATCCCAGAATGACCCAAACGTCCCTTATCGGCCGTACCCCCCAAATATTCCTCATGTTTCACATCATTACGTTTTACCCAAAGCTTTAAAGCAAACATGGAGCATTCATGACTCAACACCATCGCCCGTCAACGAAACGAGGGGTTATGATTATCATCCTTACAATAATAATAGCAGTAACAACAGAAGAGGGCAACAGTCTGAATCCTTCGATCAGGAGCACCCTGTTAAACTAGATCTGAGTCTGGCAAGGCGACCATCTTACGAAGACTGGCCTGAAGAGGATAGGGGTAGGAACCAAAACAATAATGATTGGTTTCCTGAACCTAGGGATGCTGAACATAATTATAAGAATAAAGGCAATAACCAGATTCCTTGGGCATCTTGCTCCTCAATTGATATACCTGAGAAAAGAGCACGACTATTCAGTGAAAATGATGATCTTAAAACCAGGATAAAGAAACTTGTTCACGGTAAAGACGCCAGATACCACCCTAGTTTACAGCACATTGATAATCCCACAAAGCACAGTCCCTCGCCCAGTCCACAAATAAAGCAATTTTCTCCTTTGCCCAATTTAGATCGTCAATATGATCAATGGAGGACCGCTCAGACCCCTAATAAACTTAGTCTAGCATGGTCCCCGCTGGAGTTCTTAGACGGCGATCCTTTGATAGGCGCTCCGCTTACACCTCGTCAAACATCGGCTAAAAACCTGTGGGAGGAGAAAGATGTGGACTCACAGTTTCATGATTTGACCCACGTACCCGCTAAAGTCAAAGACAGGGTATATTCGCAGAACTATCACCACAAAAACGGCAAACCATTGTTTGAGCTCAGGACTTTGAGGAGGGGAGCTAGACCGCGATTTAACAGCGATGACTTTAGGAATTCAGGGACAGGAGCTGGCGCAAGAAATCATGAGAGGCCCCTAATTTCAAATAAATCTAGAACAGCAAAACCTTCTCCCAAGCATAACATCAACAAGACACCTCCGCGATTTGACCGCACTAATAGTTTAAGGAAGGTAGTAAGGCCACGATTCTACAGCGACAACACGGGGTCAGTGGCTGATCCAGTTATCCAAGACAGGGATCACACCAGCACGGCACCCTTTAAACATACAGGAGAGGGAACCCAGCCTCGTGTTAGAATGTCACCTCACACTTATACAAGAGATGAAGACCGACAAGATTCTTTCCTGAACGACTTATATGGAAAAGGTTCAACGTTCAATCGTAATTCTAGAAGGACTTCAAGCGCACGTTTTGAAAAACCTAGCTCAAGTCCGAAGCGTAACGCACACTCTAAGTCTAATTTTGATCCACGAACTTGGCATGATAACGAGCATGTGAGCATTAATGATGACATTCAGAGTTTAACCCATAGCCTTAAAAAGGGTTTACTCTCACCTCAGTATCAAGATGATGTTAGAAATATAAACCATGATCGTGAGTATCCTCACTTCGAGTTACGAAATGAAGACCGATCTACCAGTCCACGCTTCAATATCAATTCGTTTGTACCAAAAAAAGCTAATATCCCCAGATATAGCAACAAGGTCAAGACATCGTGCCATAAAGGTTCTCCGGTCGTGTTTTCTGACTCTTATCATCCTGAGGATGATTCTGCTGCAGTGAAATTTATTAGCGGCTCTCTAACACTTGATCGGAACGAAAAACAAGCCCGTGGATTAGCGGAATTAGGACCGAATCGAATTATAAATTCTGATTTTGAAGCAGAGCGTTTCAAATGTAGTCCCGTGCGTGAGGCAGTTTATTTGGATTGTCCTGATTCGGATTCAAGCGAGCCGTCCGAGGACAAAACTGCCACTATAATTACATTTCGATCTGTGAGTTAGGCAGAAAACTGAAACTGATTATTTCACCGATCTTAAACTTTTACCACAGATTCTGATAATTTTCATCCATCAGCGAAATCATATGCTACATTCAAATTGTTGACTATTTCAATTTATTTCATTTCAGGACGTCGCGCGCATGACGGACGACTTGGCGATGGATCTCGATCTAGATGGTCCAGAAAAGAACGTCTACGTCGTCAACCCACAAAAACCAGTTAATTTTAATGTAAGTGATTAGATTATTGACCACAATAAAGTTAATGGTTTTGACTATATTTTGTACTTCAACGCACATTGCATGACTGACTGCGCAGCATAAGTCTTATTTTTGTTGTATGTTCTGTTTATTTTTGGTATGTTTTCTCCTCTCTGTTCAAACTTGCATCCCGTCCCTCCTTGTTAGGCACCGCGAGGTCTTGAAGCGGCACCGCCTCCTTCTATGGGATACGGCACCCCACCGGCTGTGCCGTCTCCTCCCTCGTCCCGACCTTATCAGTCACCTCGACAATATTCACCGAGACAGGTAACCACCTAATTCTTTGTACTGTTGTCTTTTAATTTAGCGGATTTGTCTTTGGTTTGGTGCATGTTTAGCAATTTGCATGAGTTTATTGCATGTATGTTTTATGTATGTACCTCTGATCGTGGTGTTTATGTAACATATTAGCAGGAGCCCCCCTCTCCGGGTATTATTAACGACACACCCTCCGCCGCGGATATTATGAAAAAGTGGCAGCAACGAGAACGACAGACGAAGTGAGACCCCCTTACATAATTTAATTTTGTGTGTAATATTTGTGGGTTTCTATTTTCTTCTGAAAAGGGTAAAACAAATTCTCTGTTCTGATTTTGAATATCGCAGACCGACCAGACAGACAGACCGACCGACAATTAAGCCTAGAGCACAACACTACACTCCCTCACCAAGACATCAGGCATCGACCCCTACTGACCGACTGACGGATCGACGTTCTTCTCTCGAGAAGATTCTAGCAAACAGGCGTGTAAAACTTGATAAATTGGAAAGAGAACTGTCTGATCTGGACCGATCCAGCATGAGCAGAAGATCATCTACGGACAGCAGAACAAGATCAAGTGAACGGAGGTCCTCACAAGATACGCGATATTCCTGTGACTCTGATTCTAGCTCCAGGAGATCAAACCGTCTTTATTCATCAGAGAGACGTTCCTCTAACAGGACGAGCACCAGACGACCAATACTGGAAACTTGTGGTACTCTCCCTGAACCACCTCCTAGAGGCACGTCACTCGACCAGATTAAAAACAGGCACCTCCAACGGAACAACTCCATGGACAAATTTATTACCAACTTAGATCAGCTTCAAGTAGACCTGTCCAAGATACGACCCAAACCAAGGGAACACTCCACACCGCGACGGACAAACAGACCGACAAACACATCTACTGCTGTCTCTTCTAACCACAGCAATAATTTGAAACGGGAGAACTCCTTCAAGATCGCTCGTGAAATTATCCAGAAATACAGATAGGGTAACACATATGCTCCCGGTCTCGTAGAAATGCGGTCAAAATGTGGTAGAAACTATGTATCTAGAGTACTCATCTTCTATCACATGTAACACCCATTATTAGACGTCCAGTTCATGTGACCTCGTTACTTAACTGACTCGCTGCCATAGGTGTATTTTAAATTGCTTATTATGATAAATATTTAATTGAAAATTATAACTCCGTTTTGACTGCATTTCGAGTTTATGACGGGACCGGTAGCATACCTATAGCATTAGCTGTTGAATTTCTGTAAAACATTGAATTATGGTCGGTCTTGCTCGCGATCCTTTAATTTCGCGGTAGCACTATATTTCTGGCATTTCTCACGGCTTTTCGAGTATTGCATGCAACATTTACTTGTCGTAATGCACCACTTAATTGTTGGAATATAAGGGGATTGCTCACTAGAGGTGGTTTAAAGTGGACAAGATGTCGCCCACGTAATATATAATCGATCCTTTATGCAATTACGAAATCTTTCTTTAAAAAACTCCGTTAATTGGTAAGTATTGCGGGCCGTGAAGATTCTACTTTACGGCTGAATGGTGGTCACGACAACATTAGACAAGAGAAAGATTGGAATTTGAGATTATCAATAAACGGGCGCAAACGGTTGCCTTGAATTCAAATAAAAAATTCTAAAATATCTCAACTTTGCAGGAATGAGACGAGAAGTTATCATTAGTTCAAGATATCACACTATAGAACTATAGAATTCAACTGTGTACAAAGCTAAGAAAGACCGCTGAACGAACAAGCATCAGTCACGTGACCAGTGTTTCTCGTGAGCTGACCAATATGCTGCACTATTTTACTTGGGAGTTGGACCGATGAAATGGATTGGTTAGGGAAGTTGATTCAAAACGAACGGATGAGACGTTATGTCTTAATGATGATGTGATCGAGTTATGATTACCACAGAGTACAGACTTTTATGTTGGCGATGTGTGTTGTGTTTGAAAATCGGTGTTATATTTTAGTGATATAAGTCGGCTGCAGCTCTCCACGTATTTGTATTCATGTGTATATTATTCCTTTGCCATTATAATTGTGTTTATGTTATCTTTGCAGGAAAATGCAATAAAGAAAAATTAATTTTTTATGTTATGCATTGAATAAAGTGATGATTTTTTCAAGCTTTATCAGCGACTGAATATTTAAATATTTTATTTCTGAAGTTCTTAGTTAAATTACATCACAAGTGATATCTATTGATTTTCAGCGCATGCTTTTCTTTTTGTTTTCAGAATTCAGATGATATTGGCAGCCACATCTCTTTACAGATTAATTTGTGGTTTTGCTGGCGTTTCTATTTTAGGGATATCAGATTAATTATTCTTTAAGTTTTAGTCGTCCTTTTAGTAAAGTGTTTTCAAATTATTGAACATACTGAATATAGTCTACTCAGAGGAAGCCTTTCTATGCCAGAATGTTGATAGCAGAACATGATGCCCCGTTAAAACTGTGTAAATGTATTGGTGTAAAATTTACATTTTACTTCATAGCAAAATAACGTGTATGTTAATTGGTCGCCCTATTGAATTATTAGACAACATTTACAATTTACCGCAGTTAATGCCTATGAAAACAGATCGTTCGTCCGATCCAGCAATATTGGCGACACAATAAAGCCGGTCACAATACAAACACATCAATTGTTTTGCTTGATTGAAAGTAAGTGCGATTAAAACGATTTTGATGCTGGATTAAATTAAATTTTATACTGCCAGCCATCAGACACTGCTATAAAACCATGTGAATGTTCGGCTGAGACACATGTCTGCATGTAATTTGACCCAAATGGGATAATTGGAATAGGTTATGTTTGCCATACGCGCTTTTCATACGTAAGTTTTGTTCGCGCTTTCCATAAAGTAGACGCGCGCAGCGTTTGAACATTTAACATCTAGCAAACGGCTGCGAATGATACTCAGTAAAGTTTTTAAATATGCAACCTCAGGGTAAATTAGGTTCTGTCCCACATATACACTTGTTTAAATGTTTAAGACTGAATAGTGAATAGTTTCGTAGATATGGTAACTATTTACTTGCCAATGAGAATTATCATTTCCAAATTTCTACGTTATTCGCGTCCACTATTCTGGTTTTAACGTACAATCTTGCAACTTCCAAGTTCCAACCAGTTTTTAAACTGTTAACCTTTCACAGCGGTTATACAAGAAATACCATCTCGCCCTGTTGTGTTCACTTCGTTTTAACACAGTCAAGATCCCACGAACACCCTGAAAAGAGCCTCATGATCTAAGAGAGTGGGCACTGGGCAGGAGACTGAAGCTGTGGAACGTGCCCTACATATATCGACTAGTTGGTGCCAGTTCCTCTCAACACTAGAGCGCGCGTCATATCCCCACATTGTGACATTTACACCCCAAACTCTTGACAAAGGCGAGGGTATGTGCTGCACTCCCTCACTTTCTCCTGTACCCGCCTATAATGAGGGGGATTCATTGCCGGAGGTGGGAGTTTATTTTTACAGCTAAACTTCTAACGGATCATATGTTTTCAGTCAACCTTAAAAGCGGGGAGCTGGGGAAACTTTAGAAAGCAAATGAAGGAAACCATACCGTGGGAACACACTTGGAAGTTCGATATTTTATTGTTTAACTGGGCGCTGCACCCGTGGAATCTAAAGATCATCAAATCATTTTGTCGGCTTTGTCCACAGCAAAACAGTCTTACCACTGAAATACGGGGGCAGAGTTAAAGTTAATCTGTTCGTTGACGCTAACTAATTGTATCTGAGAAGAATAAGCACGACGTGCCATCCCAAAGTATGGAAAATATGCACCCGTACATCATTTAGGGATATCTAAGTCTCCATTAGGGTCGGGCTAATTGAATATAAAGTCTACACAGTGAGTCTAGGAAGGTATAGTGTTGGTGTGTTGGTACACAAAGACCAGTCTGTCAGGGTTACCGTTGTGGGGTTTCACCCTACCACACTCATTACATTGTAAGTTTGAGTCTCGCGGGGTTGACGTCTTTAATAATGCTTCAAGCACACTCGCGATCCCCCCGTTGCCTCGTAATTAGATCTCGTATATTGGTATATCATATCGGCAGCGGGGGGCTGTTTAACCCAGTTATAGTTCGTGAAGCTTCTTTCCTGGCTATATATCAGACCGTTTGGACGACTCTCACGACTTGAAGTTTCGGTGAATGAGGCATTAGGGGTTTATAACCTATCATATCAGTCTGACACAATGAGTTAGAAGGATATTATTCGGACGAGCTTAACTTTTTGTCAAAAGTTGCCGATATAAATTTCAATCCTTAAAGGAAACCCGGGGTTTAAGGAATTACAGTTCGTGAATTTTATTAAATGTAAAAAGCAACTCGGCTAAAATTATCCCTGCACAAAATGCTGATCAAAATTTAGAGAGTTTTTACAGAACTCCCCTAGTTTCCTGTTCATGTTACAGTTTCTAAGGCATTTACGACACGTGCTGTGTGTCCAGAGGTTTTATATACCATAAATACTTGTCACTTCATTATAGTAGACGGCTCTTTTACCTCGTATACGGGAAAATTCATGTTCCAATGCAGGTATTTATTATGTAAGGTGGACACAGGGAGGTCTGCAAGGCACATATTGCTATATTATTATTATATTGGAACTCAGTTGATCTTGAGTTGTGGGCACTGGGCAGGATGTAACAATTATTAACTTAGCAATCAGAGTATTTTAGATGTATTATATGCAGATATGACATACGAGGGGGGGTCAGGTTTAAAAGTACAATAACTCTGAATATGTAGATAGCTTGCTCCACAACCCAGGTAAAGTCCAACTCCCAAGCTCGGTCTTTACAATATGTTTCGTAACTTGTTCAGGCTTGTTTTACATAATTTGTGCTACATGGTCGATCTTGCGAGAAGGATTTGTACTGACAAAACCTCTCTCCCTCTCCCTCTGTTAGCAGCGTCATGGTATGCGCACATAATCTAAGTGTGTGTTAAGGAGGGGGGTAGGCAGTCTATTTAGTATTGAAACGTTGTTATGTACACTCTAAGATCATATGATAACTTGAAAACTACACACTAAACTCAATAACACCACCTTGAGTACAGTTATTATGCAAATAAGCTCGATCAACCGTTCCCAGGCTTTTCTATTAGCCTCCCTCCACGTAGCACTCAGATGGTAGTTCTCCAAGTTAGATGAGAAGGTACGTTCCCTCCGTAAGTGTGTAATTACCATGTAGACGGTATTATGTAAAGATGTGGATTGTACGTATAATGAATTGAGATGAGTCTTGAGTATCAATCTCAACATTTCATTGTTATAACTCCATGGAATATATGAATAAATCAGTACCGCAACTTTATTAATTGTAATTTGTATGTCCTCGTTTTTTGTTCCCTGGGACTCCCTCGGACATGGTAGAGAATACCCGGGTAAAGGGAGAGTGAGTTGTGATTCTGGAGAAAAAGAAGATGAAGACGTACAGTTTTCCCATTGTTTGGGTTTATTTTCGTGTATGCTAGGCACACGATGTTATGAGGTCACAAAGACTGTAATAAAGCGACAGTAAAACCTACGGTGTGCTGGAGTGCTGTGGTAACATAGGTACTGTATTTCAAGGAGAGTAGTTTCTAACCTTTTTAAATATTCGGATTTCTCAGCAAACTTCAGTTGAGGTGTACGTGCATGTTAACCAAAATAAAGATTTTAAAATTTCCTATCGAATCTGGACCACTTAGTCCTTCAATCGGAAATCCCGGGAAACAACATAATTTTAAAATTCCGAACATAACTGTTCGCAAGCTAGTTTTTGTTTTTGTTTGTTGATTTATTTTTTTGGTCTGTTCGTTCACACGTTTTAAAATGTAATAGCTGTTAATTGTTGATTTTAATGGCTGTTTAACACTCAGATCTGAAGAAATATGTGAAATAGTGTAACCAACTAGTGATCTATATACCAGGACACAGGTGCTGAAATATCATATTGGAGACATCTAAAAGCCTCAAGTTTGCTTTGAGGGCACAAGATGAACACGTGTTATTGTACATGCTGCATTCCTAAGAACCTATTAAACTGACGTATCAGATGTTAAAATCTGTAATGATTCTCAAGAGAGCTCTAAATCCCCGGTTGACGGGCACTCTCTCTCCAGGATCTCCTGAAGATAACGGTGCAAGGTACCCATCGATCAGTAGACAGGATTAGACTTTGTTTTATTCAAAATGTTTCAACTGACCATCAACACGTCCAAGCCACAGCCCGATTATGTGCCAATTTACTATCGATTTTACAGCTTTCTTACTGTCCGATTATCGGGAGGTAAAGTTAGTGAAACAATAGGAGATTGGGATGATTGCAGTTAGATGGGCGGTTAGAATGGATACTCGGTGTACGTTTAGCGTATTCTGTTGGCGATTAACTGTTCAATTATTCATTGCACACCTTCAATGAATACTGAATATTTATGAGTAAAGTAAGATATTGCGTGCAGTCTCCTCATACAGGCGAGTACAATACACATAACAAGCTTAACAAAGGGTTACAAATCGCACCCGGCCACTCAAAGACCCTACTTTCTACGGATAACCGTCAAAACATAACTTCAAAGCTATGGCCGGGGCCTGATTGCCGCCTCTTTACACCTTCATAAAGTAAGGGTAGCGACTAGTGCACCCCCACACGGTATACCACTACACTATCATGTACCGGGGTACCAGGATCCAACACTATAGATACCTGATACCCGCCCCCTCAAACCTTCAAACCTTCAACAACTCAGTTTTGTACTTATACCCGGAACAGCAAATCATTAGTCTCATTCCGGACTGATCCTCCGTGGCAAATATTCCCGAAGAATACTACAGAATAATTAAGGGGCGTGGCACGTATAATAATAATAATCCTGAGGAATATTACAACATATCACGGAATAATTGATATGGTGGGAGAAGCAGGACATTATTAGAGGTGAAGTGTTTCCTCCAGTCGTGTGGAAATAGGAACACTAAATGGTGAACCGTACAATCCTAGAATTACAGAAGAAAGTTATGGGCTTTCGGCTGGGACCGGTACAGAGGACTCCTAATTTAAGAGAGCCGTTTCATGACCACTCTCTGCAGGGCGTGGAGGTGAGCAGATTGACACATCTAATCTTTAAGCTGAGAGTACTGCAGACAAACATAGTTTTCAAGAAAGGTGAGTTAGTTAACTTTGGCCCACCCTAGCCTGTAGCTGAGCCCTGAGGGCAGACTTGCATTAGTTGATAATGATAGCACTCCACCAGACGTCAAATGTGTCTCTTACACGGCAATTAGAGACGAATATTAAAAGATGTGATTTGAATAGCAGACTTACTGATACCCAGCTTACTGCAGATGCAAATGTGTCCATGAATCGAGGATCTAGACTTTGACACGTAAAGCTAAGCTCGACTAAGGACAATGCTTAAGTGTTATTATACTGAGCGTGAGTTAACGGAAAAGTAGACAGTATAGAAATGTAGAGCCGGGTGACAGTGATTTTAACGAGATATTGTTGAAACTTTTATCTGGTGTTTGAATTGCCCTCCTCAATTGCACAATTATCGGTTTATGCTGATAAAATGAGCTGAATTATTCAAATATATAAGTGGGTCTTTACCGAAGTTCAAAGGTTTCGAACCTCCCCAGTATTTGACACTAGGGCTCATTCTGCATAATATCACGGTCGGTGTCCCCAATTATTGGTAATAGATAAGGGACACTGGGTAGGCACTCAAGTAGCTATATCATCATACTCCCACCACCAACCAGATATAATTGTCTTTCAGCAATTATAAGTGTTCTGAAAGTTTGTACCCTTTAAACATTGACCACAGTACACTGTATACAAAGTACGCACCGAGTTTAAAATTTGAGATTAAAAACTTAACTTTTAATGTAATGTACAATATTTTGAGTTGAGCTAGCAGTAGGGCCCCAGTACACGATCATTTGTGGCAGCCTAGCAAATGAAGACTGCACAGTTTGCGATGTAGCGAGACACTTTATCTCAACCACCCTATTCTTAGGGTGTTGAAATTCGAGTAATATTACCTAATCAAATGAATATCCAATATAAGTGGAGTTCTCTTTGTTATCAGTGATTTCTAGAATAGACTCCTGGTGCGCCTACTTTTGTGGTCACAATACATCAGGACAATGTTCTGCGTTCATCAATAAGTTTATTAGTTCCCTCTATTAGTGTCCTCTAACTGGATCGTTAACAAAAACCATCCTCCTTTGGAGACGAGAAGGGGTCTATGATACCATGAAATGTAATGACATAGACTTCCAATGGCTAGTTTTTGCGAGCAGATTATTCATTATACTGTATATTTTATATCATCTTACAAGGCGTATTGTTTTACTCAATTAAGTGGACTGTTTAGATGAATTTAGCCGGTGGTGAGCGTGTGTGTGGGAGACAAGTTAAAGACATCGTTTTAAAACAGAAGTTCCGGAGCGGAACAAAGCAACAAGGTCATAAATCACAATTTTCAATTCGGAGATACAGTAATACAATAAATATTTAGAGAATAAAGCTAAAAACACAGACCAGTAGATATCTTCAGAACTGGTTATATATTACATTAGCGTTATTTAACTGTTTTACTGCCAATTTCACAGCTCAACCTGTGGAGCTATCCCTTGGGAGGCAGTGTTTGCTTTGACACGCGACAGTAGAGGGCCTATCAGCGTATAGCTACAATAACTTAGCTAATCAAATCGCTGTTACAACCACGGAATTTGCTTCCTGCTGTCACGTGTCAGATGTGCACTGTTTCCCTCCTGATAGCCACGTCTCTATCCTGGTTCAATTTAGTTCATAAAATATTTCAAATCTATTCGAAAGTTTAGAAAAAAAACACTGATAATACATCATGTCCATGACAAGTCACTGTTTCTTTAAAATTAAGTCCTAAAAGTTGTAAGAAAACGCATCGCTATAACTTATTGTCGTGAATATTTATAAAATCTAGATGTAAGAGCTCTAGAGTTGTGTATAAAAGTAACATATTTTATCCAACAGGGTGCTTCTCAATGATGCATTTTAAGTATCATTCACACCATTCCACACTCGCGTTGTAGGCGAGTAAATTCACTATAACATACCCAAGCTACTACACAAATTATTTATCTTCAAAAAATTTAAAAAATGCTAATGATATAATATAGACTAATAATAGGTATCACCATTATAGGTCTCATGTCCTAAAATTTAAAAATTTTAACATTGTACGTCAGAAATTTTTTATGTACAGAATACAGATATAGTCATTATTTCCTTTGTCTCAAAATTCAGTCTAAATTCGTTACAGATTAAAAGTTAAGTCCGAAGAAAACTGAATCCAATTTTTTTCGTCAAGTATAATACCAAAAACTAACAAATTTCGTATTTAAATTTTAAACTTGATGCTTTATGCCAAGGTATGTCATCCCTCAACAGACAGTTCTCTGCTTTTGGTTAAAAATGTTCATGCAGTTAAGAAATGTATTTGTTTAAAGGTTCAAAATAGGTTAAAAAGGTGCTCTTGCAGAAGTTTAATAACTTCACTTGCTCGCTAGAAATCCCCGAACTAGATTGACCCTGATGGGCGTGGGTCAAGTGACGAAATCATAATATGAAAAGAATGTCACGTGTAATGATGAATCCTAAATTTGCTAAATACTTTCAAAAAATGTGCTCTTCATTAATCACCCTCATGTGCCGGAGACAAGCACTTTTAGAGGCTTTCAGGCTAATCGTGGAAAAGTTTTGGATCTATGGAAGAACTAGGTGACAATTACAATGTGATACCGAGGTGTCAGGCTGCATCGCCAAAAGTTCGAGACAAAGACTTTACATTTATAAATATATGATATACTGGGATGTTGAGATTAAACAACATTATAATGCCAGGCAGCATATTATTGAAGCATGCCGAAGCCCTCAAAGTAAAAAGCGGAGTTTCTTATCAGGTTTCCATCACTTGACCGCTCGACCCGAGGGGGGTTTTTATCGTATTCTTTTAATGTAAAATCCTCAAACAATGTCTCAGAGTAACTGGATATGTTTTCACCCAGGGAAACTTGAGTGTTGTGCTGATTGTATTGATTAAAAACTTTATTTGTACCAAGACTCCCCCCAACTTATCTTCTTTTGAAACTTACTATAGAAATACACATATCAGCTATATATTAACCAATTTATACAGCAAAAAGATATTTAATTAACAAAAGGACTTCCAAAAGTCCCAGATTTGCAAAAAATTTGTAAAAACACCCCACCACGCACGTGCAACTGATGAGCGATCAGCGGACGAACACGTGCATGATCACGTGCACGAGCACGTGCATGGCACACTCGCCACTGACCGCGGGACGTGCACGCTGCGCGGTTTCACACCACTACTGACACTGTGTGATCATGATCCTCAGTCATGACAAACTGGTACTGTGGGTACGGCTGACTAGTATTGTTTTGCTCTATAAATGTTCGGGAACAGTCTTCGTTACACGACTTGATTTCCTCCATCTTGATAGGGCTGAGGACAGGTTTTCTCAGTTTAAGGATGAGCAGGGCGGATATTACGAGGATGGCGGCGATGCACACCGCCGTGATGCTGATCGTCGTTATTATCGTCATACTGGTGCTGTCGTGTTTGGGAGCCTGTGTCGGGTTCGGTGGGGGTTCAGTGTCGTCCTTGGGGTCCATAGGGTCCACAGGGAATCCTGAAATTGGAAAAATTTATAACGGGAGAACAATAGTTTACATCATTTTCCTCTTCATGGTATCACGAGGATACAGAATATTGAAACTTAGATTACACATGTGTGGATAACCTCATCGCTCGATGAGGCCTTTAAGTCGCTTTAAGAACAATACGAGCTTATTGTTTTCCAAAATTGATGTATCTATACACATTAAAGTTTAAACAGTATACCCTCTGATAGTCTACTTAACTGGTGACTATAAACAATTGACTGTAAACAATTGACCCATTACACGAATTAGACTTGACATTCGGTCCATTGGAATTGATCATTATAGACTGAGTATTCTCGTGAGGCATGATATACAAGAACAGTACATCGATATTATGTATTCAGTTGTATAATTACTACAGCCTGCTAAGTAAATAGCCACTTTTTCTACCATCGTTTGCGAATTTTGGCGGATCTAATTTAAGCAACATAATATATTATAATATGTAGAAACCATATACATACAGGTAAAATCAAATATACAAGTAATAATATAGCTATAAAAAGTAACAAATAATAATCGAACTATTACTTGCAAGATGAAACATAATGATAAACCGAATAATGTAAAATATAAGACAACAAAAGAAATTTTAGCTTTATCAAAATTCGCTAAATTTCGTTTAAATTCACTAAATTTCACCGAAAGAAACTCACTAATATCAGGGTGAAGAGTTACGATCTCAGGAGTAGTGTCGAAAGTAGCATGTGAGGTTGCGGAGTAGGACACTTCTGGTCGGTTAGGAGTAGTGTCCGTTTTGATGCCCTGGCAGCTATTGACGGCCGTGTCCGGGCAGTGGTGCTGCTTCCAAAGGTTGTTGTATCTTTCTAGACCTTCTTGGGTCGAACACCTGAAAATAGAGACGTTACAATTTTGTGGCTTTATAGGATTATGAAGGAGCTGAAGGGTTCTTTTAGATTGGGAGCTAATTGGGAGCTATCTTAAGGCCAGGGGGGGGGGGGTAAAAGTCGATTTTCCAGTTTTCACATATTTGATCAGAGCTGCTGGAGACGAACAAGAAGATAAAAACCGGACCGAAATCTGACCCCGAAAACTGGAAAATCGACTTTTACCCCCCCCCCCCCCCCCCCTCTGGCCTTAACAAGTTAGGTTCTTAAAGCAGTGAGTTCGATAGTAGCTTACGTAACATAAAGCAGTTATTGTTAATTTCCTGGAATAGTTTTTACAATAAAAAACTTGACGTGACGTCATACTGCGCCCTAATGTGCATAGTTACGAACTTCAATTCCTGGTGCTGATACTTAAGAAAATATTCATTATTCAGCTGAGAATTAATTATCACATTTCTAGCGAATCATAAAAGTTTATTTTAATTCATTTTAATATTAATCAAGAATTTACGATTTGATTATCGATTATCTGCTATCTGCAGGTCATTGACCAGTTCTAAACCCTGGTCTATAATAATATCTGCCTAGTTGCACCAGCCTATATATACTCAGCAGGATTGAGGTCTCCATTTCGAGACTGTTGCGTAATAAACACGGTCTAATCAATTTATTCAGCTGGAGATGAATTTACTGTCTGATAACAGTTTCAGACTCGTCCAGTACAATAAAGCAATAAAGAGTTGTTAAGTTGGTGAGTATCAAAATGCAGATCTCCTATTGATCCATTGTCTCAGAGTCGGGCACTGAATTATCACTTTAGTATCAGAGCGATCATTAGGTTTCATAGGACGGTGTGAGGATGACAATGAGTGGGGGGAGGCAGTCTCCTAGTCTGAACACCTGTGTAGGAGACGGGCGGGGGAGACGGTGTTGACGCCAGATATTGTACAGGAGGGTGAAGAGTATGGTGAGGTGAAGTTTTCAGGACAATTGAAATAATAATACACCTATCATGAATCATGATATTGAGACACTACTCAGAAGCGGGTTTTGATGAAAACATTAATTAACACCGGCAAAGTGGCAGGCTAGAGACACTAATCCTGGCCCCTTAATTTTGCCATTATTTAAAGAGACCTGAGTGCTGAATTTCAAACTCTGAGTTGTGGCTCTACTGCAAGAAGGCATGACGTCAGGATAAAGGACACACTAGAAGACATCTCTTTTCACTCCTCTCATCTACTACTAGAACCGAGGAGGAATCATTGACGTGATACTTTTCTTAGGAAGAGAGGAGGCGGAGACTGGGATCTGAGGAGAATGACACTATCTGGTGACGAGTAGTGCTAGGTGGTGAGTTTTGAGTACCAAGACAGGAGGACCGGGCAGACTGTAGAGTGAAGTGCACTTTACCAGTCTGATCCGCACTTCATGTCCACTGCCAGCTAGGAGAGTCCAGACCTGTGATCCAGTGCCGGGGACGTTACCAAGTCAGATACTGATCTCTTGAGACACACTAACTGCACCAGGCTAAGATCCACATTCCACTCCCCAACATTACGTCTTATCTCCCGTACTGTGACTGTCTGCGTGTATTCCATATTTGAAGTGGAGACATTATTACACGGGCAAATGTTTCGGCTTGGACAGAGAGAGAGTGAGAGAGAGCTGCAAGAGTTCATTCTTTCTCAAACACCGGGCCCAAACAATGCCCATTGAATCAAAGAGTCTGATACGCGGCTCCGGTTATACAGCGGGTAAAAACGTGCACCAATTGTCACCTAATTCTATTGCAATTTATATTTATTAGTTGTCAGAGACTCCGAGTTGAAATAGAACGATAACAAGCACGTGACAGTTTAGAGTCGGTGCAGTTGTACGGCCTCCCCTGACATGGCAACAACAAACCCTGATCTAAATATCAAGTTATAACAACCCACTTAACACTCTCCACAACAAGGAGAGAAACTCTCTGTGTACCTTAAATATGCTGATTATTGTACAGCATCCGGGGTTATTGCCCGCACAGAGGAATTTACTATAGACCCGGGCAATAATTATTATAAAGGGTTTACGATATTATCATAATCATAAGTGAAGTATCAGAAGATCTAGAGAGAGAGATTCCGGAGAATCGCATGATATGACTTAAGAATCATGTGATACGACTGGAGAATCATGTGATACAGCTTGAAGACTACAAGTATCACGTGCCTTGTCGTGCCAGGGACAGGGGGTCAGCTCTTCATTGCAAAATCTAAAAATTGTCAGAAACTACACGGCTTGGTAACGCGATGTTTAGTTCAGTCTCGCTACTGTATAGTGTATATAAAGGAAATTATTTATAGAAGTGGAGGTGCACGTCAGAAGCATGCTGAATCCTTCCTTACGCTTCCTGATACCATGTAACCCAAACTAAACCCCTATTTTCAAGTGCATCACCAGTTTTAAAAGTCACATTTAAAAGTTCACGGAAGGATGCTACTAATTGTTAGAGTGGTGAACCCTCAGCACTTCCACTCCTATTCCCATCTTCCCTTCAACCCACGTGGTACTCCTGGGAAACCCTCTCATGACATCACATGACAGCCACGTGGTGCCGCCAACGTTCCGGACGGCAGACTAAATGCTGGCAGTTGAGATAACGCTGGCAGCTCAGCTCCATTTGCAGCATACTTGTAGGTGAGGGTGAAGCTGTGGTGCTGACAGCCGCGCAGCAGTCAAGACTGTGTTAGTTACTGTGAGATGCACTGTATAATATAGGACCGATTGTTGGCCAGCCCGAGATATTGTGACAAGCCCGTGATATGGCATTCCACGTTCTGTAACGTAACACAGGGTTACACTTCCCCTCTAATCGCTAAACAGGAGTGTGACTTAATAAGGGAACTTGTTGTGTGTGTCCGGACTGTGACAAATTGTTTCACTCTGCCAGAGGAACGTAGTTAATAAGGGGAAACACCCGAGTTGTTTTCATATCACAGGCCTTTTAACTGCTAAAAGGTTTTCGGACCGATCCTGGATTGAGACTACAATAATCCATATTACTCATAAATGGAACATATTATGTTATTCGATTGGGAGAAGTGGGCATGTAAGGATTGGGGATACCTCGTAGCATATTGGTGAAGTATTATAGCGACTCACGGGCCCCTTCATTATTGATAAATATAATGTGTTGATGTATAACCTGCAAAATGGGAATTAGATTTTAATCTCCGCCAATCACAACCCAGGAACTGAGTCACGTGATGACAAATCAGAGCCAGAAGTATTGGCAACGATCTTAAAAGCTATTTGCAAGTGTTACACACGCAACACAAATTATTATATACTATGATTGATCATGTATCTTTCCAATGATTCCATTGTTAAATCTGCACTGGATACATGATGGTGTCGGGTATGTGATTTAGGGGAACCACAATAGCGTTTTATAAACTCGATTACCGTAACACAATGCTTGGACTGCTGCGACACGCAGCAAGCCTTGTCCAATTAATTAAATCGAAAAGACATTGTTGGCTTCACTTGGCCTCCCAACAAAGAGCACATTAAAATATAATGAGATTGCTGACACGTAGCAAGCCTTCCGCAATTAATTATCTGTAAGACGACATTGTTGGTTTCACCTGGATTGGAAACAATGGCCACATCGAAACATAATGTGTGTTTAATTGTGCAAAAAATCCATCGATAGTCCAGCTTGGAGTGCGCCTCGTAAAAACACAAAGCAATCACTATCCCTGTAAACCTTTCTCTCTCTATAATGAAAAGCATTGATACCGCTCGTTAAACCTCATTTTTAAAAATGATCGATGATGACATAGCCTTATGTTATTATATCGGTATATCTAACATATCCAGCATACTTTCAGGGACAATAGACTGAGAAGGAGAGCGAGGGGGTCGGGGTGAGCTTGTGCCAGGTCCCCTGCTGGCACAGGGATATCATGACCAGAGGGGGTAAGGACCAGTTAGCACCTTTCAACAAACAGGGGGCTAGGTCATCAGGCTCCGGTCTAATCTCTTATCTCCCAAATCTTTGAAACTTTCAATTAATTGGGTAACGACGTCGTGAAATTGTGTAAAGGTTACGGGGAACTGGGGCCTCGTAACGATCCTCATGATTATCATACATTCTTAAGCCCCCGATTCTTGTTGTAAAGGTGTCCGGTTCATGATTATGTGATTGCACAGGAAAACGTTGAACTTGGTCCGCTAAACGAAAGCGGATGATCCTTCTCAGGATTGAAAATTGACACTTTTTATATTTGCTTTGTAAGGGAAGAGAATGAATGCCTTTAATAAAATTACGGGGGCCGGGTTAAGGTGACAAGTGCAAGGGGAATAATTCGGTTTATGAGGCAGGATCAGCAGATCACCTATCAGACTTTTTAAAAACTGGTGATATATCACACTATAATAATATGATTCGCATCATGATTTAAGTAAGGGAGAGAAAATGTAAGGGCAAACATTCAAGGTTATCAGTGGTACAGTGATGTCACTACCTTAATTTTAGCTTATATCTTTAGATAACGGATCCAAGGCAAGGAGGCTCTTTGACAAAATGAAAACATCCAAATCGTATTTGTAAAATGCTAGTTTTCCGGTGATATTACATTATTTTTTTGCAGACAGCTTCAGTCTGCAAATAAACTTGTGCAAGCTATCCCTTCCGTAACTTAACGAGTTTTTCAAGACTCCACAATAGTGATATGATCATCAGAAAATAGGGATATGATCACTTTCTGATTAAGTCACGACCCAATTACTATAACTAGTGGCATGATTTTTACTTTGCAGGTTTGCAAAAATATTAGATTTTTTCTTTAGAAATCCTCGATACTATATCAACGAATAATTCACCCATCATCAGCTTCTCCCATTTAAACATTTACTACCTTTGCAACAATCAATCAAACTAAAAGAAAGAACCTTTCACCTTGACATACCGTTTTTGCCTAATCTCATAACTCCAGAACAACTCTGAAGC